TCTGTAGCAGCCATTTAGTAAAATGCATTGTGCATTAAAAATGTCTCTGGTGTTACCTTTATTATGTGTAACACCAATGAGGATCAGTGACACCAGTGACTCCTATGGACAGATAGAAAAGTGGACGTTTCTGTAGAATGACCCAGATACCTGCTGTTTTTTTTTTCTTTTTTGGACGATACGGAGGTTGTGTTCGCTTAACAGAGACTGTGTTGTACACATTCTACTGGACTAGTGCCACTCCATGACCTACATGCCCCTGAGAGGAAGAGGGCCAAGTACACTGTCTCAGTGGAGCAGAGCTGTAGCAGAGGGTGGCGAGCGAGGTGTGAAGCCATTGATGTACAGTGCAGTGGGTTCGGCTGCCAGTCCCTCTGCAGGGCCTACAACAGGGGCTCCCAATCCCAGTACTGCGCTGCATCTCAATACTCTTCGTTTCCTATCAGCTTTCCTTGATTTTGCTCTGATCTTTGATTTGGTAGCTGCGTAGTTCCATAACCTAGTCAGCTCTTCCAACGTATTTAGTGAGTCCATGGGCTACAGATCAAGGAAAGCAGGTAGGAAACGAAGATTCATTCAACTCCTCAGACTGACTGCCTGCTTCAATACCAGTTTTTACAAGCCTTCGTCCACTTGGTCTCACCTTTTCACCCCCGGGGGAACCCCAGCGCCATCTTAAGGGCTTTTTCATTACTTTATTCGCTCAAGTTTATTAGATGAGCCCTTATGTGTCAACTTCAGCGGCTTGCCCAGAACCCTTACAAAAAATATATATTTAAAGTTTATTTTATTAAGTAAACTGAAGTAAAGTTCATGTATAGTTCCCTAATATACTTCATACAGTAAGTATACTAATATCAATGTACTGGTAATATACTTGTAAGTGTACTATTTCAATACTTCTTGGGACTAATTTGGCCCACTTTTTAGTTTATTAAAGTGTACTTTTTGGTGTTCTTTTGGTGTAAGAGTAGCAAACTTTGAGTAAGCAAGCAAGCAAAGTTTATTTATATAGCGCTTTTTACAACAGGTGTTGTCACAAAGCAGCTTTACGGAAAAAAACGGGTCCGAGCCCCCATGAGCGTCGCCAGTGGCGACTAGTTTACATTTACGTTTAAATTTAAGTTTTATTTGTACTGCAACTAGACTGTGAACTACACTAAAAGTGAGCTTATAAGTACATTGTTCATTTACTAGTTATATATTTCTATCCCACATTTTAGTTTATGAAAATACATTTTTAAGTATACTCTCAGTAAACTACTCATTTAATAGTTTTATACTGCAATTATACTTGTAGGTTTTCTTTAAACAACCTTAACGTAATACTTGTACTTTACTGCTTATATATTATATATTATTTTTGCGTTAAATATTATTTTTGTATTAAAGTCTACTACTAGATTTCTATTTAGGTGCTATTTTTCATTCTTGAAATATGCCTTTAACTCTGATTTAAGTAGACTTAGAGTTAACTAATGTGACCACTACCAGTGGACGACACATATAAAAGCTGACAAGACAGACTCAGAACATTGTTTTCTTTATAAATCAAATTTTTAAAACGACATTCCAGATCAAAACAAAACACAACAAACACTCACAGTCTTCAGGGAGGTTTGATATTAGAACTGGTGGCAGGCAACCGCTCCGAAATCGGTCCCTGGCTGCCCACGAACAGGTTGCACTTCTCTACAATTTACATAAAAAATCAGTTCCGCAAATGTAATATTTACTCTAAGCTATTCCACCTCAAACTACAAGCCAAGTATACTTAAGCTTTATGTATAAGGCAAGAATATTTACTTATACTTTTCTTAAGTAAATCTCGATTAAAGGATTATTTACAAGTGTAGGCCAAATATACTCAGACTTTTCTGTATACTTGTCAGTATAAGCCAAGTATACTTAAGTATGATATTGCCCGGTATATCTCTGATAAGTACATAAAAAGTAAACTGAAAGCATCCTCACGTATTTTTAGTTTAAAAGAAATATAATTATAGCCACTTAAATAAACCTCCTTTTTTTTTAAGGGAAATCATTGCGATCTGACACGTTTCAGAACCGAAAAACGTCCTGGGCAAAGCTGTTTATGAGCCATAATATTTTTTATAAATTAACCAATTTAAAATTTAAAGTAATTTTTATCTTGGGTTTGCTGGGCTTTACTCCTCTGTTACACATGACTGCTGATACAACTTCATGATCGTACTCTGCTAGCTTGCTGGTTAGCATGCTAAAGGCTACACAGCTAACAACAACAGCAAGAAAGGCAGCAGCCCACGGCTCTAAAACAAGTTAAAAGCCAAAGAAAGCAATTATTCACAAATTTGTTGTACGTTATGTTCAAACTTCAAAAACGAAGATTTGCATTGTAAAGTTTTTTGGCTGGTTATCACGCTAAAGCTAACCTGCTGAGAGCGAGCGCGCTCCGTATGACTAATCCACTCCTCATCTTCTGCCGCAAGTAGCAACTTAGGTAATGTAGGTTTTCTCTAAGCAGTCTATCTTTTTGTGCTGCCCGCATAGCGAGCACATGGGTCATTCTACAGAAACGTCCACTTTTCTATCTCTCCATAGGAGTCACTGGTGTTACTGATCCTCATTGGTGTTACACATAATAAAGGAACACCAGAGACATTTTTAATGCACAATGCATTTTACTAATTGGCTGCTACAGAGCATCAAACCACATGTTGTCAGTCATGGAACATCCACTAAAATATGTAATTTAATCCATTTGTATTCTATTTTTTCACAATTACCTCAGAATAAAGTCGGTCACACCAGAGACTTCAGCTAAAAGCTTCATATGAAATCATGAGCTAAATGAGAAAATCTCTGATAACTGAAAGACACAGTGGACTCACCATGTGCTTTTCCTCATAGATCCTCAGAGAACAGGTAAAAGGAAGGAATGTGATGTCATCAGTGTGATTTTTATGGACTGAGTCCACCAACCAAAAATATCCAGCCAACAGTGTCCTGTGGGCAGTGTCCTGTGACCACTGATGAAGGACTAGAGGATGACCAACACAAACTGTGCAGCAGCAGATGAGCTATCGTCTCTGACTTTACATCTACGAGGTGGACTGACAAGGTAGGAGTGTCTAATAGAGTGGACAGTGAGTGGACACAGTGTTTAAAAACTCCAGCAGCACTGCTGTGTCTGATCCACTTGCACCAGCACAACACACACTAACACACCACACCACCACGTCAGTGTTACTGCAGTGCTGAGAATGATCCACCACCCAAATAGTACCTGCTCTGTGAGGGTCCACGGGGGGTCCTGACCACTGAAGAACAGGGTAAACGGGGGCTAACAAAGTATCAGAGAAACAGATGGACTACAGTCTGTAACTGTAGAACTACAAAGTGCACCTATATAGTAAGTGGAGCTGATAAAATGGACAATGAGCGTAGAAACAAGGAGGTGGTCATAATGTTATGCCTGATCGGTGTAAGTAGGACATATACAGTGACCTCCAGTGAAAAGGCTTCTATTTTGCCTTCTTTGAATATTTAATAAGTTTTAAAAGTTAAATATATAATATAATTTTTATTGCAAGTTAAATTATCAGCAAAGTGGATTAGTAGAATAATTGAAAAATTAACATGAATTTAAATTTTTTTAGCATTTGGTGGTATGTCCCCCTTTTGCTTTAATCACAGCATGCACTCAAACTGGCATGGACTATACCTGGAATGGACAGTACGATAAACACAAATTGCCCACTAAAATTTGCAGAAAATTCCATATTTACGTTTCTGGTAGAGCAGTGGTTCCCAACCCTGATTATAGAGGACCCCCTGCACTGAATAGTTTAGTGTTTGCTCTGCTCTCAACACACCTGATCCAACTAATCCGCTACTTATCAAGCCCTTCCTGAGCTGAGGTGAGTGTGTTAGAGCAGGAAAACACCACTATGTGCAGGACAGGAGGTCCTTCAGGACCAGAACCGCTGCTGTTGAGGACGTGTCGACTTATTTTCATTCAGGAAGTCAACAAAACAGGTAATTTGACCAGGTTGTTCAAACTTTTGCATATGACTGTATGTAATAATAGTAATAAGTTTGATCTCACACTGGATGAGTCAGTGGGGTTGGGGTGACTTTTCTGCTGGGCCAAATCAAAAAGTCCTCACAGGTCACTCTTTGGCAGCCCTGTTCTAGACTGATGCTGCTGTTTTATTGGATGGCCTGAAAATGTATATGTTGAAGCCATGTGGCTACAAGAAACTATATTAAGAAACATGGCCTCAGTATAGTAATTTGCTACTTCAATATATTATTTTGTGGCCTCAATATATTAATTTCAGGCCTAAATATATTATTTTGTGGCCTCAATATATTAATTTGTAGCCTCAATATAGTATTTCCCTGCTTCAATATATTAGTTTGTGGCCTCAGTATATTTTTTTGCAGCCTCAATATTTAAATTTTGGTCTGAATATATTATTTCGAGGCCTCAATATATTATTTCAAGGCCTCAATATATTAATTTGTGGTCTCAATATATTATTTTGAGGCCTCAATATAGTATTTCCCTGTTTCGATATATTAATTTGTGGCCTTACTATTTTAAATTGTAGCTCACTATGTTATTTTGAGGCCTCAATATATTAATTTGTGGCCTCAACATATTTTTTGTATTTAATATTTAAATTTGTGGTCTGAATATATTATTTTGAGGCCTCTATATATTATTTTACTTTTGGGTAAACAAACAAAACAAAAATACAATGTCACCTTAGAGGCACCTTTAAATAAAATGATTTAATGATCATATTTACTGGTTTTTACTGTAAGAATCACAGATAATCCTCTTTTTACACGCACAGCAAGAAGACTTGACTCAGCGGTGTGGCACATCACTAATTTCCGTCTAGTGGCTCATCTCGGAAACCCTGAGCACTCTTTGGCCGTGACGTAAGGCGGGGGGGCGGTGTGTCTGTGTTGTGCCGCCCCACGTGCGCGCTGAAAAAGATAGAAATGACAGCAGAGAGCCGGAGAGCAGGGAGAGGGAGCAGTGCGGCTGCAGGAGGCGCGGCGCTTTGCAGTGTTCTGGTCTGAGTCGATCAGCTGCCGCTAACTTTGTCCGCGGTTCGTTAAAAGTTTCCTGCGCAGCTGAAACTGTGACCTGTGACCTGTGTGGGATTACTCTGCTGATATATTCGGAGTGACCTTGCGCTGCTTCTCTCGCGCTGCTCCTCTCACGCTGCCGAGCTTAATGTCAGCTGCCTGAACTGCGGTGGGTTTTAGAAAGAGCTGCCAGCAGGCTGCCCGTACTGCGGTGGGTTTTAGAAAGAGAGCTGCCCGTACTGCGGTGGGTTTTAGAAAGAGAGCTGCCAGCAGGCTGCCTGTACTGCGGTGTGTTGTAATCAGACTGGGGCTTTCAGTTGGACGCGCAGGTTTCCTCCTCTTGCCGGTATCATGGTGGAACAGACCTCTTTCACTTCTTATTGGCCTCTCATCCGATTCCTGCTTCCTCTCGCAATTACCAACATAGCCATCGATTTCGGAGAACAGGTAAGAAGAGACCTTCATAACTAAGGAGTCTCCCACATTAAAGGGCCCATAGCCTGCATTTCCAGCGTCAGGCAAGCTTGTTTATACATTTCACACACAAAGGCAACTCAGTGTGCTTCACATGAATAAAAGCTGAAGGAAAATAAATAAATGAATAAAGACAAAGTGCTTCAGAATGAAAAACAATAAAAGATTTAAAAAAAAAAAAGCTGTAGCAGCATAACAGCTAAACACCGCTTCATCATGTTTATTTTGGTCTCTGGGCTCGACTAGCTGTCCTGAGTCCATAGATCTAAGAGACCTACCCACTTGATATTTTTTAAACGTATCAAATATGAGCTTTAAAGATGTCAGCTTGACTTAAAATATTTCTTTAAATATGGGCCCAAATGATTGGTGTAGTTATTAAGTAAAAAAATAAATAAGTAGTCAATATATTAATTTTTGGCTTTAATATATTAATTCATGACCTAATTATGTTACTTTGTGGCCTCAATATATAATGTTTTGCCTCTATATTATTTTGTGGCCTCAATATATAATGTTTTGCCTCTATAGTAATTTGTGGCCTCAATATATTATTTTGTGGCCTCCATATATTATTTTGTGGCCTCCATATTTTAATTCGCGGCCACTATATTTTATTTTGAGGCCTCAATATATTAATTTATGGCCTCCATATTTTAATTTGCGGCCACAATATTTTATTTTGAGGCCTCAATATATTAATTTGTGGCCTCAATATATTATTTTCTGTCCTCAATATATTATTTTCTGTCCTCAATATATTATTTTGTGGCCTCCATATTTTAATTTGCGGCCTTAATATTTTATTTTGAGGCCTCAATATATTAATTTATGGCCTCAATATATTATTTTGTGGCCTCCATATTTTAATTCGTGGCCACTATATTTTATTTTGAGGCCTCAATATATTAATTTGTGGCCTCAATGTATAATGTTTTGCCTCTATAGTAATTTGTGGCCTCAATATATTATTTTCTGTCCTCAATATATTATTTTCTGTCCTCAATATATTATTTTGTGGCCTCCATATTTTAATTTGCGGCCTCAATATTTTATTTTGAGGCCTCAATACATTAATTTATGGCCTCAATATATTATTTTATGGCCTCCATATTTTAATTCGCTGCCTCAATATTTTATTTTGTTGCCTCAATATACAATTTTGGGGTTCTCAATATATTATTTTGAGGCCTCAACATATTAATTTGTGCCCTCAATATGTTATTTTGTGTAAAAAAAATAAGTAGTGATGCATTAAGTTTTTTTATCACTTTATTTTGACAAAACCACATTTACCTACTTTATATTTAGACACTATTATTTTTTTCTTTTTTGATGATTCAATTAAACCTTAAATAAGACTTTAAACATGGGCCGAAACTATTCAGTGATTTATAGACCAGCAGCAGCACTTTAAACTCAGCGTGGAGGTTTCAGAGTCGCAGTAATGTAATATACTCTGTTCACCTGGTCCTGATTAAGAGTCTAGGAGCAGCAGTCTGAATGAGCTGCAGCTGTTTAATGTCTTTTTGGGAGGTCCAGTTAAGAGACCATTACAGTAGTCCACCATGCTGGGGATAAAAGAATGGATGAGAAAAGTCTTTTTGGGACACCAAACCTTTGATTCTGGCCATTTGATGGATCTAGAGGCTGTTTTGTTGACTGCTTTGATCTGGCCGGTGAAGGTTGCGAACCAAAAATAGTCCTAATTCATTCTCACGTGACATTTTCCAACTACTCTTTATCTTTTAGATGTGAACAGGCTGCTTTTGTTACTGTGCCTGATGTAGGCTGATATGCAAATGATCTCTGCTCTGATTGGCTGCCCTGTATTGTGCCTCATTCAAAAAGCGGTGTGGGCTGAAACACTAATGGCCAGAGCTAAACTAAAATGGTCATTTTCTTTTGCTGTTAGAGGCATTCAATTGTAAAATACTGTCTGTAGTTCAGGGTGAAAGTCATTGTATATATTAAATTAATTCAGAATAGTCCACCAACCAAAGATATCCAGCCGACTGCGGACCTGTGGTCAGAAATGCAGGGCTGTAGATTGGCAGTATCTGTGATAAGGGCTTTATTCTGTGATAAAAGAAATGCACCTGCTATTTGTTGGTTATTAAATAAAAATGAATAAGTAGTGATGCATTTAGTAAACAAATTTTAGCAATATATTTAGACTAGACAGCTTTTGTCTACTTTATATTCGTTCTTTTTTAATGATTCAGTTTAACTTTAAATACAACTTAATTAACCATATAACCTCTATATAACCTCTAAAATAACTATGTAGTTCTGATAGGCAGATTGCTATAAGATGTCTTTACAGTGGTGGTGATAGGAACCAGGTTTCGCCATGACTACAGCACAAATATAGACATTTTATTTACTATCCAGAACCACCAGTGAACCTACACGAGTCTTTTGTAGTGGTGATGATGGTAAAATGGTGGAAAATGTGGAAAAAAAAATCTTTTGGGGACTACTTTACTAACTTTCTGTGAGGGAGCTTTTAGAGGTGGATGTCTGGTTCCTTTCACCACCACTGTGAACTATTCTGACTATAAATAGGGAAGTTTTTGAAAAATCAGGGGAGTTTCCCTTTAACATCTGTGGAAAACAATGAAAGTGCATGAATTGTCATGTGATTGTATGAGCTAATAGACTGGGAGCAGGATGTATTTAACTGTATTCAGATAATTCAAAATGAATCCAAGTATTTGTCTTCATTCATTCACGCTCTTCACCGTCTGTTCCCTTGTGTCCTTTGTTTTCCAGCTGAGAGTCTGTTGTTTGTGTGTGTGTGTGTGTGTGTGTATGTGTGTGTGCGTGTGTGTGTGTGTGTGTGTGTGCGTGTGTGTGTGCGTGTGTGTGAGAGAGAGTGTGTGTGTGTGTGTGTGTGTGAGAGAGAGAGTGTGTGTGTGTGTGTGCGTATGTGTGTGTGCGTATGTGTGTGTGCGTATATGTGTGTGCGTGTGTATGTGTGTATGCGCGTGTGTGTGTGCGTGTGTATGTGTGTGTGTGTGTGTGTGTGTGTGTGAGTGTGAGAGAGAGTGTGTGTGTGTGTGTGTGAGAGAGAGTGTGTGTGTGTGTGCGTGTGTGTGTGCATGTGTGCGTGTGTGCGTGTGTGTGTGTGTGGATATATATAGATGAGCTCTTGGTCAGCAGCTGTCCTTGTAGTTCATTTGTGGGCCGGCCTTCAGTACCAAAACACTCTCACTGGAAAAACCTGGATCCATTAGGGTGGACGATCTGACGATATGTCTTTATTGCGATAAAATACATCATGATATGCTTTTCAGAGTAAATCATACTAGAGTAGAATGCAAAACTATATAATAACATTTACACCAGATATATATAATGATCATTGGTGATCAGCTCATTATGACATCATCTGATTTTATTAACTTATTTCAACACATCTTTTGGATTTTTTCCTCTCTTCTTGTTAAATACTTTAGTTTAGCAAAAATTAAATTGAAAAAGTGATCCTTTTCATAGACGTTTTTTAAAATGTGGCACTCGTTCAGAAAAATTAAATGTCATGATGCATATTATTACGTATATACTGAAAATTGCTTCAAGTATTATGAGGTTTTATTACATAAAATATATACTAAAATATATAATATACACTCACCAAGCACTTTATTAGGAACACCTCCCTGTTTCTACACTTACTGTTCATTTAATCAGCTCCACTGACCATATAGTTTCACTCTGTAGTTCTACAGTTACAGACTGTAGTCCATCTGTTTCTCTGCATACTTTGCTACCCTGTTCTTCAGTGGTCAGGACCTCCATGGACCCTCACAGAGCAGGTACTATTTGGGTGGTGGATCATTCTCAGCACTGCAGTAACACTGACGTGGTGGTGGTGTGTTAGTGTGTGTTGCGCTGGTACGGGTGGATCAGACACAGCAGTGCTGCTGGAGTTTTTAAACACCTCAGTGTCACTGCTGGACTGAGAATAGTCCACCAACCAAAAATATCCAGCCAACAGCGTCCTGTGGGCAGCGTCCTGTGACCACTGATGAAGGACTAGAGGATGACCAACACAAACTGTGCAGCAGCAGATGAGCTATCGTCTCTGACTTTACACCTACAAGGTGGACCTACAAAGTAGGAGTGTCTAATAGAGTGGACAGTGGGTGGACACAATGTTTAAAACCTCCAGCAGCACTGCTGTGTCTGATCCACTCAGGCCAGCACAACACACGCTAACACACCACCACCACGTCAGTGTCACTGCAGTGCTGAGAATGATCCACCACCCAAATAGTACCTGCTCTGTGAGGGTCCATGGGGGTCCTGACCACTGAAGAACAGGGTAAAAGGGGGCTAACAAAGTATGCAGAGAAACAGATGGACTACAGTCTGTAACTGTAGAACTACAGAGTGAAACTATATGGTCAGTGGAGCTGCTAAAATGGTGCTTGGTGAGTGTAACTGTAACTGTAACAGTTAAATCCTGTAAATTCAGTGCGCTCTGCACATTATTTTCAGTGTTGGCTGTGATAAAATATACCTAATAATACACCGAAGCTTATCAGTTTCAGAATTAATAGTAATAAAATTTTATTGTCAGTTTGGTTTGATTGTTGTTGACCTTTCACATGATTCAGATGTTTGCACTGAACAGTGACCATCAGACATGATTTCATCTTATCAAGCAAAAGTAAACAGATTTTTAATATACAGGTTGTAAATATTGACTATTGCTTGGAGATTTATGGAAGTTGGAGCTACCTTTTTCAAATTAATGATGAAGTGTTATTAGTGATGAGAGTTGGTGCCAAAAGAGTTCATTCATGGCCCACGACTCTGAGAGCCGGAGTGCCTTCAGTTGGAGTGTTTTTTTTTTTCCCACCATGATTAACTCAGACATTTTGGATGTGTGGAAACATGGAATTGTACCAAAGTTGAAGTACATTAAAATGAACATTAAGTAGAATGTGTACAAGTGCTGGGCATTATTGATAAAGTTTCAGACTGTAATATTTTCCAAATACATTATGATATCAGATGTTATTTAAAGGGATATTCCACCTATTTTTTTTATAACTAAATGGTTAAGATGTAAACAGTCATTCAGAGTGGTTTGGTGTGAAACGCTCTGTTCTAGAGAAACTTAGAGTCAGAATTGTTCACAGTGGTGGTGATAGGAACCAGACGTCCACCTCTAAAAGCTCCCTCACAGAAAGTTACTACATGAAATGAAGATGTTGCCTGAAGCCAGAGACTTTGTTTAGCAAAAGCTATTAGTAAAGATTTCAGCCTAGAACGTATATTTCCATTCCATTTATTGTGGAGAGGTGCATGCAGGGTATTCTGAGACAAAATAGAATCCAGCTCCACTCGTCATTTTGGATAGTAAATAAAATGGATATTAATTTATTCAAAATGAGTAAATTCATATTGGAGAAATTATGTTTGTTTTTTCAGTGTTGTATTTCAAAAGATTTTCCTGTGACTATCGCGTTTATGTCACTACCGAAACCGAGAGTTTTAGTCCATAGGCGGAGCCTTATTTTAGCCACACCCATGCATTTTAGAGCAGGAAGTGAGGCCGCATCCCTGCCCCTCATGGCCACATGGTGAGCAGGTAGATCCCATTGTTTTGAGGTAAATGTGTCCCAAAGTCTGAAAATCAGTGTGGAACATTAAGAATCGTCATATTTTCTGCAGTTAAGTAACCTTTTTGTGTCTTAATGAAAAATATGATGATTTTCTGTGTGAACAGCTGTTCAAAGCTGTGTTTGCTGGTCATATACTGGCTGCGTTTTTTAGTTCTGATCAAAATGAGCTAAAATTGTCACCACCATTTGGTAAAGTTTGGGTAGAGTTATGATGATAAAATGGAATGTGCAATTAATTGTTTTAATAAAATAAACATAAGGTTTAGAGTCACTCAAAGCAAAAAGCATTTTAGTCTAAAGTCAGTAAAATGTCAGAAATGTGTTTTCAACTCTGAACCACTTTGGTAGAAAGATCCATATACACAAACACAAATAGAGGTTTTTCTTGTCTATCAATACTGTTATACTAAAAATCAATATTTTTGTGTGCCACCAATACTGATATACTGGTATAACACTAATCTACAGTCAAATTATTAAACAAATAGATAAATTAAGTTAATATGGAGAATTTTTCCCCTTTTGTTTCTTTAAATGTTGAAGTTTTGTGTGTAAATTTGCAGACAGTCTTTTACAGAAAGAAGAGTCAGTATTGATCCGCTCAGCATTGACGGCTTCAAACAGCTGAAAAACATTAACCAGCCTAGTTTGTGTTTAATGTGAGACCAAACTAGTCTCTATATGGGTTTAATTCCATCAGTTACATCAGCCAAAACCATCAGTAGCAATCATTATATTTTGGGCTTGGCCCATTTATTTTGCACGGGAGTGTATACCAGTTTGCACTCCCTCCTGTGCAAATATCTGTATTTGCTTTGAGGTATATGTAGGATGTTGAAGTGCAATGTGTCCCATCATCCTCTCATACTATTCCTGTTTAGGGGACAGTGTTGGTGTTAGAGAGGACATGGATTAGTCTTGCATAGTGTCAGTGTGTAAGAGAGACTATATTAATAGAACTGAATAAAATAATGAATAAAACTGATTTTTTTTTGGCAAAACAATTGTCAAATTGTATAAATCACACTGCAGTCTTTTATAACTAAGCTGCTGAGTCATATGCTGAGTTTATCATGGTTGTGATGTCATCAGGCTACAGCAGTTCTGTCCACCCCTTCATACTGAATTGCAGTTACTGCAGACAGACTTCAATCAATCAACCTTTATTTAATCTCGGAGAAAATTGAGGGTGACCCTCATTTACAATGTTGCTGAGTTGATACAGAGCAAGGGATCGATAATGTGTAAAAAACATATCAAATAATAAAAGTAAATTTAATAAATAAAAAAGACTCATCAGGTAAGTATAAAAAAGTGAAACATTAATAATATAAATACATAAAAATACAAAAAAATAAAACAATAATTAAAATGTGGGTAAAATGTAAAGGTTAATAAAATCAGATCAAATAAAATAGGAGGGAGAATAAGATCAAAAAGTAAGCAAAAAAATTAAAATGACTAATAATAAAATAATCATAATTAAAATAAGAAAATGAATAATAAATAAATAAATACATAAATAATAGTGGAAATAAAATAATTATGGTAAAAAATCAGGTAAAACAGTTGCAGTGGCTAGAAAAAAAGCTTATTTGCATATTTCACTCCAAAAAGAACTGTAACAAAAACTAACAAACACAAAACACAGAAAAAACTGGCGTGTGTGCCCTTTAAGTGAAATGAGGAAAACGACTGTAGGCCTTTGTAACGCTCAAGCTCTCATCTCTCTCACGTCTCAGGCTCTGAACAGAGGAATCGCCTCAGTAAAGGAGGACCGTGTGGAGATGCTGGCCAGTTATGGACTGGCCTACTCTCTGATGAAGTTCTTCACTGGACCCATGAGTGACTTTAAGAGCGTTGGGTTGGTGCTCGTCCACAGCAGGAGGGACAGAAACAAGGCCTTGCTCTGTATGGCTGTGGCTGGTACCATAGCCATGATCCTCCATATCCTCATAGGTATGTATGAGAGTTATAGTTATTAAAAAAAAGCATGTGAGCATACTCTACCGTTCTGCGGAGGCCCTACTGTGAAATGGCGATTCATTTTTTTAAAAGGTTTGGCCACAAATTAATATGTTGAGGCCAAATTAGTTACAGGACAAATCAGTAAAAATAGAAGAAATTGGATGGGGGCAAATACTTTTTCACAGTACTGTTTTTGTGTACATATATATGACACAAGTAAACACAAAATGAAGATTTTCAATGATCATTCCGTTAGAATGACCAAGAAAGGAAAAAGATTTATTCCAAACCTATTTCACCCATGTGAAAAAGTTATTGCCCCCTAATCCTAATAGCTGGTTGTGCCGCCCTGGCCGTGACAACTGCAATCAAACATTTGCAATAACTTGTTATGAGTCTTTTACATCGCTGTGGAGGAACTTTGGCCCCCTCTTCTTTGCAGAATTGTTTTAATTTGGCTACATTGGAGGGTTTTCAAGCATTAACTGCCCGTTTAAGGTCGTGCCACAGCATCTCAGTGGGATTCAGGTCAGGATTTTGACTCGGCCACTCCAGGGCCCAGTCCCATTTCTTATTTTTACCCCTACCCCTTGTTTTTGAGTGTCACGTTGCCCCTTGGAACTGAGCTATAAGGGGTAGTGGTTGAAATCTACCCTCTGAAATGGGACCCTCAAATAAAAAGAGCATTACTTCATTAACAGCTACCAGCGCTGCTCTGTAGGTGACCCTGCCAGTCTGCAGTGACAGCAGAGGAGGGTAAAGTTCAGCTCCTCACTGCTGGGCTTTAGTTACATTTAGGGCGTCATATGCCTTCAAAGAGGGGGGCAATTATTTATCATCACCCACCCCTAATTCTTCAGTGATATGAAGCTGAAGTCAGATATTCACCAGCTTCTTGTTCAAATTTTCCCGTTCCACCTTAAATGGTGTAGCAGTTACATTCTGGCACTTCAGGCATCAGAACTGCTGGATTATTTAAGGTGGAACGGGAAATTTATCTAGCTAGCTACCGAGACATCAGCATACTATTAGCGATTTTTATGCTTGTTATGAAGAAAACGACCATAATACATTTAAATGACATTAAACTAATGCAATCATTATCATAATTTTTAACTGAGAAAATTCTCACATTTGTGGCTTTCTCTGGTCGCTTGCGCAGACATCTTGCCGTTTTTTTTTCTTTTCTTTTCTCAAAACTCTCTGTTTGGAGTCTCTGAAAACCCTCAGTTTGAAGGGCCATGTAGCCCTAACACTTCTCCCTACCCCTCTATCTCAACAAATATCGGGACACCCTACCGCTAGACGTGAACGCGGAAAACAGAGGGCTAAGGGCTAAGTGGTAGGAGCGAGGGCTGAAATGGGACTGGGCCCAAAATCTTAAATTTGTTTCTTTCTAGCCATTCAGAGGTGGACTTGCTTGCGTGCTTCAGATCATTGTCCTGCTGCATAAACCCAACTGAGCTTGAGCTTTAGGTCATGAACTGATAGGCGGACATTCTCCTTTAGAAATTTCTAACAGAGAGCAGAATTCATGGTTGAATTCAAGTCGTTCAGGTCCTGCAGAAACAAAGCAGCCCCAGACCATCACACTACCACCACCATGTTTCACTGTTGGTATGATCTTATGGTGGAATGCAGTTTTAGCTTTACGCCTGATGTAGCAGACACGTCTTCCAAAAAGTTCCACCTTTGACTCATCAGTCCACAGAGTATTGTCCCAAAAGTCTTGGGGGTCATCTAGATGTTTTTTGGCAAATGTAAGATGAGCCTTTGTGTTCTTTTTGGTCAGCAGTGGTTTGCACCTGGCAGTTCTCCCATGGATGTCATTTTTGCCCAGTGTCTTTCTTATTGTGGAATCGTACACTGACCTTAAATGAGGCAATTGAGGCCTGCAGCTTTTTAGTTTCTCTCGGTTCTTTTGTGAGCTCCTTGATGAGTCACTGATGCGCTCTTGGTGTAATTTTAGGAGGCCAGCCACTGCTGGGAAAGTTCACCACTGTTCCCAGTTTTCTCCATCTGTGGATAATGGCTTTCACTGTGGTTCTCTGGAGTCCCAGAGCCTCAGTAATGGCTTTGTAACCCTTTCCAGACTGGTAGATTTAAAAGACTTTGTTTCCCATCTGTAGTTGAATCTCTTTAGTGGCATCATGAGCTGCTTTGCGAGACCTTCTGTGATGTTTAGATTCAGCAGGTCTGGCAGTGATCATGCCTGAGTGTGGCTGGTGAAATTGATTGGTTTAGTATATAAGGGGGCAGTGATCTTTTTCACATAGGGCCAGGTTGGGCTGACGAGCATCTTCCTTCAATAAATGAAATCATAATTTAAAAACACGCATTTTGTGTCTACTTGGGTTACCTTTGTCTAATATTAAAAGTAGTTTGATGATCTGAAACATTCAGGTTTGACAAATATGAAGAAATTGGAGCAGCACTGTGTGTGTGTTTATATACACCGATCAGGCATAACATTCTGACCACCTCCTTGTTTCTACGCTCATTGTCCATTTTATCAGCTCCACTTACTATATAGGTGCACTTTGTAGTTCTACAGTTACAGACTGTAGTCCATCTGTTTCTCTGATACTTTGTTAGCCCCCTTTTACCCTGTTCTTCAGTGCTCAGGACCCCCATGGACCCTCACAGAGCAGGTACTATTTGGGTGGTGGATCATTCTCAGCACTGCAGTAACACTGACGTGGTGGTGGTGTGTTAGTGTGTGTTGCACTGGTCTGAGTGGATCAGACACAGCAGTGCTGATGGAGTTTTTAAACACTGTGTCCACTCGCTGTCCACTCTATTAGACACTCCTACCTTGTCGGTCCACCTTGTAGATGTAAAGTCAGAGACGATAGCTCATCTGCTGCTGCACAGTTTGTGTTGGTCATCCTCTAGTCCTTATCAGTGGTCACAGGACGCTGCCCACAGGACGCTGTTGACTGGATGTTTTTGGTTGGTGGACTATTCTCAGTCCAGCAGTGACACTAAGGTGTTTAAAAATTCCAGCAGCACTGCTGTGTCTGATCCACTCCGACCAGCACAACACACGCTAACACACCACCACCATGTTTGACTGTATCTATGTATATTTGACTAGGCTAGTGTCCAATGATAGTTATGTGAGTTAACAGCTTCCAAGGACTGTAAAACTTTGATTCCAAGTAAATGGTTTGATTTGAGTGCCGATTCCTTTTGTACAGTAGTGTATTTATGTGTTGTCTAGACGGCGCTGCTGCTGACCAGGCGCTGACAGATGATCAAACTCAAAAGAAGCATAACATGCCAACATTCACTGAGCAAAGTTTCAGTTGACCACATGAGTCATAGCCATTGCATCTGTATATGCTGATGCGCTGAGACCAGGGATATCAGTTTTTACATGTTTTTTGTTTGTTTGTTTGTTTGTTTATACTTTTATTTATGTTTTTATTTTAGTTTAGTTCCAGTTAGTCTTAAGAGTGCATGAATAGTTTTAGTCTTGTATTTATTTTCTGAAAAGTACTAGTTTTATTTTAGTTTTTATTTCATATTAGTTTTAGTTTTTAGTATTTTGATGAATGCTCTGTTAGAAGATATACGATAAGGGTAGAGTAAAGTTAATACAGCAGTAGACTGAGCTCAGCTCGGCTCCAGCTTCCCTTAAAAACGGCCAAACACAGAAAAGATCCGCTTCCGAATTCTCACTCATGCACTGAAAAAACTAAAACTATTTTTTTTTTCTCACTAATTCTATTTTGTTTCAAGTTAGTTGTGCAGTGAACATTATAGTTTTGATTTTGTTTTTGAGAACTGATGTTAAATATAATAGCCCTGGCTGAGACGGAGTAAAACTAATGAAATTGTTGCTGTTTCTAAGCACGTGACGTGTTTCGTGTCATGATTTTAAACATGAGCAGCACTTTTATAAGAGATGACTGCGTTTGCATTGTTCAAGTCAACTGTAGGCTAATATTAGCTGGATTATAGTGATTATAGTGTATTACTGTACTATGGATCATTTAATGTTTTTTTCTCTGCTATTTAGGTCTGTAATGGCATAGAGTAACTGTGTCTAATGCATGATTGTGGATTAATTCCATACAGACAAAACATTACAAAGCAACTGTTGTTGGCTGTAATGTCCATTATAAATAATGTTATTGTGCGTCAGCTTACACAGATCTGGGATATTACATCATCAACAAGCTCCACCATGTGGACGAATCAGTCGGCGGCAAGACGCGAAAGGCCTTCCTGTACCTCGCAGTGTTCCCCTTGCTGGACTCCATGGTGAGTCTGTGCCACCACCGAGACCCTTTAGCACAAATCAGTCAGGCTGTACTTTATACCTCTCATCAGACAGTGATGACCAACTCCACTGTATGCAGTACTGCGCAAACATCTCAGGCGTCTGATGAAAGATGTCTAAAGCTTTTGATCTGGACAGTAGATGATTGTTTGTTCATTTGAATAAATACAAATAAACAGTACTTTGTGTGTGTGTGTGTGTGTGTGTGTGTGTGTTTGTTTGACCATTTCCACAGTTCTTCTCTAGTATTTAGCCACCATTCAACACCTACTTTATCTAATCAGTCCTTCATTAATTTAAACCAGGCGCTGCTGATGGAATTTAACAAATCCATGCAATGATTACTCTTAAAAAAGGTGGTTCTTTAAGGGTTCTTTATTAAAGATGGTGGTTCTATGAACACTATGAACACTCGAAGGACCATTTGCATGCTGAAAGGGTTCTTTGCATGTTAAAATGGTTCTTCAGACTGATGGAGAATGTGTTGTATATGGTTCTAAGTAGCACCACAAAGGGCTCTTTTACTGTTAATGTCAAGCTTGTGATAGTAGAAGATATATATGTTGTACAATATATGTTGCAATTTAAAATATATAAATATACTCTTAAAGTCAATTTTAAAAGTCTAAAAATGTATTATTTGTCATGTATGTACACATACCTGATGACTTTTAAGGGGGAACAGACCAACAGAAATGGTCCATAATTACTTGGAAAAATTATTTATCCATATACTTCCATTAAAAGATAAGAGCATTTTCATTGGAGATCCTATATATATATATATATATATGTGTATGTGTCTGTGTGTGTGTGTGCGCGTGCGTGCGTGTGTGTGTGTGTGTATATACTCTTAAAAAGATGCTTCTTCAAGGGTTCTTCAGTGAAGAAAAAGGTTCTATATAGAACCTTTTTGAAAAAGATTCTATATATTACCCAAAAGGGTTCTTCTATTGTTACAAGCCTGACATCATAACAATAGAAGAAACGTTTGCAGTGCTATATAGATCCATGAAGAACTGTTTCATGACGCAAAGAACCCTTTAATCATGCAGAGGGTTCTTTGATTATTCATGGTTCAGTATAGGATTTTCTTTACTGCAGGATCCTTTACTAATTGCGCTGCTTTACACAATTAAAGTCATGACTTGTATCTTTGTTGTGATGTATTGTTTGACCTGTAATGGTGTGTTGTGTTGAGATCAGCTCTGTAATACAAGGTCCTGATAACATCTCCATTGTATTGCATTCTTAATTTGATGATACTGTTCTGAGCAGAATACCAGATGTAGCCTGAATATGTACATTTTCACAGCTAGGTAACATACATAATTTGGTGATTATGGTCATTTATGAATGTATTTTAGACTGAATTACCTGGAAATACCTGATTAACAAGTAAGATTCACCAGTTTATCTGATTAATATATTTTATTTTTATTCCTGTGTCTTACAAAGGCGTGGATTCACTCTGGCATCCTTCTAAAGCACAAATACAGCCTGCTGGTGGGCTCTGCCTCCATCTCGGACGTTGTAGCTCAGGTAAGTTCTACCCCAGTTCTCTCCTTCTCTTCGCTTAGAATGATAGCTTAGTAAAAAACACAGTTTTAAGCCTGCAGTTTGCACAGAGCTAATCGGTGAGCATTTATAAAGCTCAGCTCGCTGGGTCACTCAGTCATTTTAAACCTTTACTCTCTAACCACGTCCACCGTACCTTGTATTTGTTTATTTATTTGTTTATTTATTATTATTCATGTTCTTATTCTTACTTTAATTATGATTATTCTATTATTATTTTAGTCATTTTAATACATTTTTGGTTTCATTTTTGATCGTATCCCCCTTTTGTTTTATTTATCTTCTTTTGATTTTATTAAGTTTTACATTTTAGCTATGCTTTAATTATTGTTTTATATTTTCTACTGTATTTTTTTATTAATGTTTCATTTTTTATACTTACCTGATCGTTTTTATTATTAAATGTACTTTTATTATTTGATATGTTCTTACACATTATCAATCCCCTTTCCTGTATCAACTCTGCAACATTGTAAATGATATTTGATTTTTTTTTGTGTGTGTGTGTGTGTGCATATATATATATATATATATATATATATATACATATATATATATATATATATATATATATATATATATGTATTTATATATATTTATATTATTATATATTTTATTTCATTTATTCATTCATTCTTTCTTTCCTTCTTTCCTCAGAGTGGATGCTGCTTTTTTGCTTGTGTTTAAAAGAGTAATGTGTTTTGTGTGTAATGTTTCATTCATTGTCTTTTGTTGTCAGTGTCGTCTATGCAGTATTTCATCTCTCTCCTCTCCTGTAGATCGTGTTTGTGGCGATTTTGCTCCAGAGTAACCTGGAGTGTATTGAACCTTTGCTCATCCCCATCCTGTCTCTGTACATTGGAGCGCTGGTGCGTTTTACCATCGTGGGACTGGGCTACTACTGCAACATCCACGACACCTTCCCTAAGTCCAGCAGCCAGGAAGTGGGGGTACACTCACCCGCTCCACCCGTTCACCTGATCAGTCTGCTGATAATGGTGTTTTATCATACTGCACTAGAAACAGCAGCGTCACTGATTGCACAGTAACTCAAATACGCGATGTCTAAGTGTGAAAATATATATAAACATTACTCATGACTGTGTTTATAGTGGTTTATAGTGGTTTCCTAGCACAACATTCAGTCAGGCGCATGTTGCTTCTCTTAGCTTTGTGTCACTCTTTTGTTCATGTTTATGGGGAGTAGTCATTATGATGATTGACAGTGTTTGTGGAACAGCTCTAATAGCAGCTTGTGGTTATTCTCCTACTTTGAGACATTGTCTGAATTCACATTTGGGTGATTTAAAGATGGTTTGGCCAGAATTCAAATTTGTGCAACCCCACATTAAGTCCATCAGCCAAGACATGCTTGTTGTCTAAACTTTGCTTCTTTGGTTTTGCACTGGAGCTACAAAGCTAATGCAGCTAACAAGTAATGAAAGCTTTTAGCCAACAGGTGAGCACTGTGTAAACAGCATCCAGCACACATTCGCCTCAAACCATGTTAAGTAATCTGCATGTGGTTTCTGACACTGTATGTGTATCTATATCTATAAAATAGAAAAAAGTAGGGCTACAGTTCATGTATGAGATGGCTACTGCTACTGTTTTAGCTATTTTTGTACATTTTATAGATAACAGTTTGTCACACAGAGTCATAAACTACACAAGGAAGTCTATTTGAGATTATGTAATAATAATTTGACGCGGTTTAAGGCAGGTGTGTGAAGATTGCTGATTACGATAGGAGCTTGCTCAATGCTAACCTCGTGGCTTGAAGCTTCCATTGCTTAGCTACATTAGCCTCGTAGCTCCGGTATGAAACTAAGGCTATGTTCACACAGCAGGTAAAAGTGGCCTAAATCTGATTTTATTTCCAAATCTGATTTTTTGGTTTGTCTGTTCACATTGTCTTTAAATGTGATCTGTATGCGACATCAGTCTGAACAGATCAGCTCCTAAACTGACCTGCAAAAGAACAGAGCGTCATGCTGCTTCACGGCTCATCCAGAGGTAAACAATCACGACCGCCAACGAACGCCAGTCACTCCCGGAGGATCAGCTTCATCTTCAACAGCATCACAGGAGCCATCATGAAGCTTCACTGACTGACAGCTGGGCTCATCACCCAGAATGTGTTCAAGTTCGCCGTAAAAAGGGCGCGGTCCCTTCTTTGTTTCGCGTCCTTCGATTCTTTAAACTTTGCTTTCAGACATTAACTGTTCTTTGACGCTGCAGCCTCGTTTCTTTCGTTCAGCCATTTCTTTCTAAATCTCTTCAAACGTGGAGGGTTTTGGATGAGTCTCTTCTAATTTTTGTACAGAAATATCACCCCAAATGTTTATGAGTCTCAGCGGTGTGAAATTATGACTAATGTGGAGTTGGATTGACGTAAAAGTCGCATGAATTCCGATCCGGCTGTTCAGACTGAGTCGCATTGCCGCAGATCGGATACGTATCGGATTTCAGTACCACATATGAAAGCGTCTCAAATCGGAATTAAAAATGTCAGATTCAGTGTGTTTATCTGTTCACACAGACACACAGACACTCATCTGTGTCACATATGAGGAAAAAAATAGGATTTGGGCCACTTTTACCTGCTGTGTGAACAAAGCCTAAAGCAGCACCAAACATGTCTTGGCTGAATGACTGCATTTAGTGAAGAAAGTGATCCATTTTTGGCCTAACCATCCGTTTAAGTTAATTGTCAGTGTGTGATCAACTCTTTTGACTAGACTAAATTTGAGAAGTGTCGGTGGAATCATTTTGTCTCCTTATTACAACAAAAGAAAACTCTAAAGTACAGATTTCTAGCAAAGGCCAAAGCATGAGGAAGCCGTTCAGTGCCCTGTTTATCTTCTCTCATATTAGGTTTACTGCTGTATTGTTGTAGGGCAATACCAGCGTAAAGAAGATGTTGAATTTCTGGTGGCCACTGGCTCTCATTCTTGCCACCCAGAGGATCAGCAGACCTGTCGTCAACCTCTTTGTGTCCAGAGACCTCAAAGGAAGTGCTGCCGCAACGGAGGTCAGTTGTGCTGCCTTTCAGACTGTCTTATGGCCTACGGCTGAAACAAATTGGAACCTGCTTCAACCTTCGAATGTGTTTGTGTTGCAAGGCTGTAGCAGTCCTCACAGCCACCTACCCCGTGGGACACATGCCCTATGGCTGGCTGACAGAACTGCGAGCCATCTACCCAGCCTTCGACAAGGTGCGTTTCCAGATCTCTCTTAGATCCTAGCAAGTTTGACCACAGTGACTGATAAATGTTCCTACGTTCCCCAAGGTCCATACGCATGGAACGCCATGCTGCACCCCAAATGCATTTTGCCATAGATTGCTGTGAGTTTTACAGCATGGTTACCTTTAGTTACACTGGATGAACGTTACATTTAACCTGATGAGAAATTGTAGCACAAATGTTTTGCAATGTACATCCAGTAGGAGGGTTTTTCATTTTATTAGACAGGCTTTGCTTTATGGCTTTTACTGCTGACTGTCCTTTGAGTGAGTGAGTGAGTGTGTGCAGGTATGGAACTGAGTGCATTTGTAGACGAGCATATCGTCAAAATACCTCTAACTCTTAATGTGCGTTATTAGGACTGCAACTAACTATGATTTCCTTAAGCCAGGGGTCGGCAACACGCAGCTCCGGAGATTTGTAGGTAAAAATAAAATGATCCTCCTTTACAGTAAAATAAAGCTCTGCTGATCGTTCAACACAGTTTAACAATAAATGGTCTTAAACTCTGGAGTTAATGTAGAACTGCTGATTCACCCTTTAACCCTGAAGGTTGGCGCACAGACTGCTGGTCACCACAGAAACGCAGACAACAGTCTCGCCTAGCTAGTAGCTAACGTAACGGCAAAGAGGGAGATTTAAGACAAACATCGATAATTTGGAGACGAAATGGACTTATTTGCATTTATATTTACTCCAGCTGGTTTCCTGATACGTTTAATCTGCAACGAGAAACTGAAACACTAAAAAGTAACGAAACTGAGGTCACTTCCTCATTAGCAAGCTTCTTGATCTAATTCTCCCGTTCCACCTTAAATGGTGCAGCAGTTGCATTCTGGAGCCTCAGGCACCATTTAAGGTGGAACGGGAAAATTCAATCAAGAAGCTGGCGAATGAGAAGACGACTTTTGTCTCGTGAAAAGTTGAACGTTAAGAGACATTTTACAAGAAACTGTGCTACTTTTGTGGAAAAGTTTCCTGCTGGAGATGCAAGAAAAGTGGCTATAGCTGAGCTAAAGCTTAAAGCAGAGCAAAGTAAGTCTGCATTTTCGTGTATATATATATATATATATATATATATTATATATATATTATTTATATATATATAGGCTTTACTAGTAAATTAGCACATACTGAGACACATTTACAGCCAAAACACTGTAAATCAAATGCAAATGTAATTCGTTACATAATTAGAATTATGTAAATCAAATGTACAGCAAAATTACATACTTCTAATGAAGTAACTGAAAACAGGTGATGCAGTCAGTATTAATTAATAATAAATATTCAGTTAAAAAATGTAGTAGTGTTATGTAAGTCATGCTTGCTGCAGGAGTTACATCAGAACTTTTTTTGTTTCCTTTTCATTCTTTTTTCCCATAATGAGGTCTTTGTGATCATTTTGAAATCGAATCACAAACATGTCCTGGTCTGTCCCAAGACAACGGAATGTTCCAGCTTCAACACCCAACGCCCATCTCAGCCAGTGTGTTTTTCATAAAGCCCATGCCTGTAATTACATACCAGTGGTGTAACGGTGACGGTTTAACTAACACTTCAGCCCCTTTGCCTGTGGTGGTGGAAACCTACCGGGATGGCTGTGATTCAGCTGTTTGGGTTTGGCCTGGCTGGAGAAGCACAGGGACAGTGTCTACTTTTTTTTTCTTTGCGTGACTTTGCTTTTATTTGTTTTGCAGTGTACATTCAGGAGGAGGGTTTTTCATTTTATTAGACAGGCTTTGCTTTATGGCTTTTACTGCTGACTGTCCTTTGAGTGAGTGAGTGAGTGCAGGTATGGAACTGAGCGCATTTATAGACGAGCATATCGTCAAACGATAAGTGTCTCCAAAATAGTAACTTTACAGGAGAAGGCAAAAATACTCTGACCTTTCAATGTAAGTTAATGCAAAGAGATTTTATTCCAAGTGATTTTGGAGCATTTCTATTGGTTCAATCATCATAAAATTCTCACACAATATAAAGGACAGCTGGTGTGATGAAATGATACAAAAATAAAAATCAACAAAAATGGTGATACATGGTTTTCTTTGGACGGCGACAATATGCACCTGTGTATTTGAAAGAAATATTTTCATATAACATTTTTAATAATTTAGTTAGGTTTAATCATGCTGGGCTGTCAATTAGAGGCAATATTCTTATTGTTAATTGAGGTTAATTAAGTCTTATTTTAATTTTGATTTGCGTGTGGCGGAGCAAAGAATAGAAAACACAGTTAGTAGTATTTAAAAATGAAATATACTCTGAGCACATTCACAAACCTGGGTGTACTGCAGCACTTTCAGTTGGCTTAAAAGTAGCTTATATTATAATTTGATGTGTTTTTGAATTTGATTCTAAACAGTAAAAGCATTAAAAGCTAGTCAGTCCACCTTACAGGGCCCATATGATGGAAAACTGAATTTTATATTTTTATGAAGTAAAAGTATGATGAAGTATGTAAACACAGTTTCAAAATGTATTATTCATGCCGCAGTCCATATGATCCATATATGGAAACTAAGCTGCTGTTGTTTCCATGATGTCACAAAAACCAACACACTTTAACCTACATGAGTTGAGCTCCCATTCATGCTGAAGTTATACAGAGTGTTTCCGCCTGGACAGCTTTCTGAATGAGACACGGTACAAAGCAGCCAATCAGAACAAAGGTCATTTACGTATATCAGTCTTAAAGGCATAGTAACAATAACAATTTGTAGGTAATAATAACAATTTGTAGGTAAAAATAAAATAATCCTCCTTTACAGTAAAATAAAGCTCTGCTGATCGTTCAACACAGTTTAACACTAAATGGTCTTAAACTCTGGAGTTAATGTAGAACTGCTAATTCACCCTTTAACCCTGAAGATCAGCACAGACTGCTGGTCACCATAGCAACACAGACAACAGTCTCACCTAGCTAGTAGCTAACGAAACGACAAAGAGAAAGATTTAAGACAAACATTGATAATTTAGGGACGAATGGACTTATCTGCATTTCTAATCACTCCAGCTGGTTTCCTGATACGTTTAATCTGCACTGAGAAACTGACAAACACTAAAAATGCACAAAGTATTTGAATGAAATATTTTCATATAACATTTTTAATAATTTAGTTAGGTTTAATCATGCTGGGCTGTCAATTTGAGGCAATATTCTTATTGTTAATTGAGGTTAATTAAGTCTTATTATAATTTTGATTCGCCGGCTTCTTGTTCGAATTTTCCCGTTCCACCTTAAATGGTACCTGAGGCACCAGAATGTAACTGCTGCACCATTTAAGGTGGAACGGGACAATTCGGACAAGGAGTTGCAGAATGAGAAGCGACTTCAGCCTCATTAAAAATCGAACATTGAGAGACATTTTACAAGAAGCTATTCTAATTTTGAGGAAAAGTTTCCTGCCGGAGATGCGAGAAAAGCAGGTGTAATTGAGCAAAAGCAGAGCAAAGTAATTCGGAGTTTTCGTTACATTTTTTTTTTTGCCTGTACTAGTACTTTAGCACATACTGAGACATACTTACAGCCAAGATGGTAAAATGCTACTTAAATAAAATGTTGTGTCTCCCAAAGTGGTTTGATTGGTTTGTTGAAAGGACAAATTGGCTCTTCTTAACATTTGGGTTGCGACCCCTGCTCTAAGGGATAAACAGAGGTTGGAAAACTTATGGCTATTTTTGGTACATAAACCACACAAACGTCATAAGTGGAGATCAGGGAGGACAATTTAACACAATAAAAATGTTATGTGGTCTACAGGCTAAAAGCAAGTGAAAGCTCTGTGAAAGCATGCAGGCTGAGTGGCATCGTGTGCTTGTAGATACTTTTAACCCTCTTTTTTCATGACACCTTTTATTTAGCCAGATAAATGTAAATGATAGCAACAGTTCACTGAAATCAAATTGATGCACTTTCCACTCTTATCTTAAACAGAGTTGATCAGCCAAGTCATGCTTGGAGTCTGAAAGCTACTTTAGTTTTGTGCCTTATATCTTAGCAGCCTATATCACAAAAAACAAGCCTCATAACCAAAGAAGCAAACGTAGGACACCAAACACTTCTTGGCGGCTCGACTGCATTAAGGTTAAGAATGAAAATAATGTAGTTTCTGTTTCTTTAAAGATATGCCTTTGAGCAGTTTTTGGATTCAATTTAATGACAAATATATGTTTGTTTTCCTTTGTATTCAACAGAATAATCCCACCAACAAGCTGGCGGGTGGTACTGCTGTGACCAAATCTCAAATCAAGAGGTTCACGTTTGCCTGCTTCACGCTGTCCTTAACGGTAAGAAAGGCCTGTCTGTGTTACTACAAATGTATCCAAATACATCTGTCCAAAACTATCCAGACACACTTTCTAATTAATCCAGCTAATTTAAGGTGCAACCCTTGGTGACACAGGTCTTCACACGTACACACTCTTGAAAAGGATGGTCCTTTCAGGGTTCTTTAGTAAAGAAAACAGTTCTATATAGAACCATAAACACTCAAAGGACCCTTTGCCTGATTAAAAGGTTCTTTGCATCATGAAAGGGTGCTGGAGAATGTGCTATAGATGGTTCTATGCAGAGCCTTTTTGAAAAGGGTTTTTCTATTGTTCTAGTGTATAAAGCTTATAACAGTAGAAGAACCCTTTTGGATGCTATATAGAACCTTTTTTGAAAAAGTTCTACATAAAACCGCCTATAGCACATTCATGCACAATGCAAAAACCATTTAATCATGCAAAGGGTTCTTTGAGTGCTTATGGTTCTATATAGAACTGTTTTCTTTACTAAAGAACCCCTGAAGGACCATCTTTTTAAAAGTGCAGCTTAATTGCTGTAGCAGTCCTCCTGGAGATCTGCTGTCCTGTAGAGAACCTGCATCTAGCATGCCGACCTAACACTTATGCGTCTGGTCAGCCAGTCAGGGATCTCTGAAGAACTTAATTAGCTGGAGCAAGTTTGGCAGATTGTGGGACTCTGCAGGAAGGTAGATCTCCAAGAGCAGGGATAGTGACCTTGGATGCTCTGGAGCAGCCAGACGTGAGCCTAAGGTCACCATGCCCAATGCCAAGTGTAGGCTGGAAGGGTATAAAGCCCCCCAGCATTGGGCTGTGGAGCAGTGGAGCTGTGTTCTCTGCAGTGATGGAGCTCCATCCTATACCTTTGGGATGAGCTGGAGTGATCCAGAACTGACCATCCATCATCAGTACCTCACTAATGCTCAATCAAATCCTCACAGCAATGTTCAACATCTAGTGTAAAGCCTTCCCAGAAGAGTAGAGACTCAGCACACTGTAGCACATGAAACATCTTGTTTGACAGGACATTGAATAACATTTTGCTGTAGACAGTGTTCACAAGGCTCACAAGGGTTCTATATATTACCAAAATTACCAAAAGAGTTCTTTGGCTTGTAACAATAGTGGAACCATTTTTGGGGCTATATAGAACCCATTTCAAAAAGGTTCTATATAAAACCATCTACAGCACATTCTCCATCAATCTAAGAAACCCTTTAATGATGCAAAGAACCCTTTAATCCTGCAAAGGGTTCTTTGAGTGTTCATGGCTCTATATAGAACTATTTTGACTAAAGAACCCTTGAAGAACCATTTTTTTTAAGAGTGCACATGATACTTACATAACGTTGCTATCCAAAGAAAACAAGCTAAATGGCAACTTTACAGCAGAGGGCAAAAAAATCTTTACTTATAATGGAAGTTAATGAAAAGACATTTCATTCCCAGCAATGTTGGAGCATCTCTATTGATCCATTCATCATTTTTCACAACATAAAGGGCAGCTGGTGTCCTCAACTCAAGGGGATGCTGAAAAGTGAAAATCAGAAAAAATAAGGATGTATGGATAAGTTTTTTTTTTTTTAGAAAAAGTGACGATAACTTTGTCATAACAACTGACATAAACATATATAAACATTTATAAAGGCTTTTCCCAGTAGACGTCATTCAGCAGAAAGGTTACGTTTGCCAATTTTGATCAAAGTTGGTTTTTTGATCAAAGTGTAACTCAAAATTGGTTTTTGGAGACAAAAACTAACTTAAAAGAGAAAACTTCACATTCCTGTGGAAGATCATCCTAAAAGTTGTTTCCTTGTTGTTTTGGGCTGTTTTTGTTTAAATTAAAGTCACATGGCTTCTATTGGTTCTTGAGTCCTAAAGGAACCAAGCACTACAGTTTTTTGTACCATTTCTGGTGTCAGAGCAGGAAAAACAAACGCTCCTGGCATGTACCAACCGAACCAAAGTAACCTCCTGTTATGGCTGAAATTCCATTTTAATTATTGGTTATATAGGTAGATACTGCTATTGCAATATGCAAAATATTATGAAATATTTTAACTAGAGGTGTCAAATCATTAAAACAATTAATTGTGGTTAATCACATTATTCTTCGTAGTTAATCACAGTTAATCCCTTTGTCTTATTTGCACAATTTTGACTTTTTTCATTGACAAAGCAGTGCATTTTGTTATAACTACATCAGTGGACAAACTAAGCTTAATCAGAATATTTTTTAGTACTTTCTGTAACAATTATTTTCATCATGTGGATGCAGTTTCAGTTTTCATCGCCAGTGTCCAGTGAGAGCAGCAGCGGCTGCATGTTCCCAGTGAGTGTATATGTGTTTACAGTCGACTCCTCCATGACTGTAGCCTCTCACTCTGTGTCTCACTGTTCAGATGCAGTTCGTAGGCGTTAGGCCTGGAACACAGGTCGTACCTTTGAGGCATTGCTTGTAAAAAGGCTAAGTTTAAATGTTTTCTTTCCTGTCTGACGCATCTGTGTGTCGACTACAGGAGCTAAAATTATAAGCGGCTCTGCGTGAGTGCAAAGCCTGCCAGGATTAGTTGTTTTGTTGCAATTCAGGATCAATAACAGATGATGATGATGATAAAAGATGTATCCATGCAATAAAAAGTAGCCTGCAGTGAGGCTTGTGTGCACATGTTCTGCGTACGGAGAGGAGATGGAGGAGGAGTCACACGAAACGCTGAGAGATGGGGACTTGTGTCTATCCACTGTAAGGATCTGGCACTTGTAGCAGCAGTTGAGAGAGACTTATAAAAGACAAGGGAATCACTGACTTCTGCGCGCACAGGTCAGGGCTTGTCTCGCCTGATAAGCAGACGTACTGGATAATCAGATAAGATGGGCTCGGAGATCGTATGTATTGTAGATTTGCTTTAACTGCCTTACCGTTGTGAGTTTGTGTACGTTTTACAGACTGAAACGTACAAATGAATACAGTTCATTGACCTGCTACATTGTATTTCTGAATACTAGGCTTATTAAAGTTATTCATTTTAAACAGGGGTGTCGAACTCTGTTACTTCCAGGCCGCAGCTCTGCAGGGATTGGCATTTTCCCTCATTTAATGCTCTGAATTCAATTCACGGCTGTCTTGTTAATCAGCTGAGGAGTTAAATTAGGTGTGTTTCATGAGGCAATAATGAAGTCTGACAAATGTGATCTTACAGGGGAATTCCACTTCTATCTACAATGCAAATACAGCCATTTTATTTACTGTCTAAAACAACCAGTGAATTTACACGTCTTCTCAGTTTTATATGAAATGTTGGTGTAAAATAGTGGGAAATCTGGAAAAATTTGAAAAATGGATTAAAAAATTAAAAAGAATGGATTTAAAAAATAAAATTAGGCCAAACTCTCATCTCAAAACTATCATAAAGCAATGACTCAGACATCAGGCAGCGGATTCATAACCACTTCTTTGTAGTAACTTTCTGCGAGGGAGCTTTTAGAGGTGGACGTCTGGTTCCTATCACCACCACTGTGAATAATTCTGACTCTGAGTTTCTCTGGAACATAGAATTTCGCATCAAACCACTCTGAATGACTCCGTTTACATCTTAACCATTTAATAATAGAGAAATTTTGAAAAAATGGTGGAATTCCCCTTTAATTAGTGGTAAAGGTTATTAAGCATATCATCTCGGTGAACGGTGATAAACTGACAAATATGGCTGGATGGCGTGAAACGTAGCTGTAACACATTTATGCTACTAATGGCTTAAAGGGGAACTCCACCAATTTTTCAAAAGTTCTACATAATTAAATGGCTAAGATGTAAACAGAGTCATTCAGAGTGGTTTGTTGTGAAATGCTCCATTCTAGAGAAACTTACAGTCAGAATCGTTCACAGTGGTGGTGACAGGAACCAGATGTCCACTTCTAAATGCCCCCTCACAGAAAGTTATTGAAATGGACTTTATGATTGAACTGTGCACATTTTTTAATGCTGGAATTGCTCTTTAATATATTTTCCAGTCTCCAGTCAATAGTGGCCTTATTATGCATGATGTAAACTGCATTGTTATTTTAAAAGTACTGGTTGTACTTGCTGTATGTCTGGAATCTTGCCATCTAGGCTTTGTTGTTGGTGTTGGCTGCTCTGCTGTAGCCTGGAGGGGCTTTGTGATTGACTATATGAGAGTTTAATTATCTCGAGAGCTGGGCAGTATGACTGTATCGTTATCAAGATAAATTACATCCGTATGTTTGATGAAAAAGAGAGCATGTGTGTGAAATGTTGACTACAAGTAATTGAAATCATAGTTCTTGATAGTATTTTTAAAATGTGGAACTACTTTGTCTGTTCTGGCTTATTTGCATATCAGAAAAAAGAAGTATTGGACACATTGTGTATCGTAACAAAACCTATTAAAATATTGTGATGTTACGTTTTGCTGTATCGCCCAGCTCTAATTGCATCCCAGATCTTACAACCTGAACACTTTACCTTTGGCCTCATTTCCCTTTTGAAAATGTATTTTTTTAAATAGCATTTCAGGTTGTAATTTTTGAAAAAAAGTGAAAATGGAAAATTTTGTCCTGAACACTTTAACAGTAAATAAATTCAAATTATTTTAACAGGAAATTTTAAATCCATACGTATATTATTTAAATATTAATCAGTCAAATTCAAATTCTTTATTAATTCCATATTCAACAAAATAAGATCACAGAAGAGGTTTTTCAGCTCAAGATCTGACAGAACTGTGATTTTTTGACTGGTAATTATGTGGTTGCTCCAAAGAATTGCAGAATCCTGCTTTGGTTAAAAATATATATAAAAAAAAAAATATATATATATATATATCAAAGAATACATTTTAAATAAAATGAAAACTTCTTGTTTGCTTCTTGCTAGATTCTTGCTAATTTGCTGGAATGAGAATTCCATGTTCAATTTTTTTTTAAATGAAGGGTCAGTGGGCCTCTTAAATGTGTTCTTGAGAAAGGTTCTAAGAAAAAGTCCACGTCAGATTCATGACGTTCTGAAACCGTAGAACTGTTCTCACCTTCGTGCTCTTGAGTGTGTGTAGATAAGAAAACACCGGTGGATGTCAGAATCTTCATTAAAACTTGCTGAGTGGGTTTTAAGAAAAAATTTCCCTTTAATGTTCTGCTCAAAAATTTGGTAGAGCACATTTTGAGTCACTATATATGCCACAAAGTGCCATCCTGACCATTTGGTAGATGTGAATATTTAAAAAAACTGTGGGATTAAAAAATACGAGAGAAAAAAAAACAATTGTTTTTATTATTGCCCCAAAAAATAAAAAATACAAAATACAAAATTCCATTGCTTTTTTCTTGGTGAGGATATCAAAGGGTTAAGAACGGTTGGAGAACGAGGCCCAATGTTTTGATACTTTTGCCGAAGCATTTCTTAGAAGGCAATTCCACAGATTTTGCACCATTTCAGAACAAAGTCTTTCAGTGATTAGACATGACGCCTCTTTCTAGAAGATAAGACCCAGATGTTCCATGCATCTAATGTCTCTAAAGCTCCCTCACAGAAATCTCTTTCTTAAAATGGTTATGAATTCGCTGCCTGATGAATAAAACGTTGTGTTCTGATAGTTTTGTAAGCTTATGACCTATTTTAGTTTCAGAAAACTTGTTTGATCCATTTACAATGGAGGCACATGCAAGGCCGAAGAAAATATTTTTTTCAGATCTGCCACTGTTTTACGGTTCAACTCTACAATATCGCTGCTGGCGGAAGAAAACTTTGTATCTCCAAAATGGTAACTTTACAGGAGAAGGAAAAAACCTACTTTACTTTTAATGTAAGTCAATGGAACCAGAATTTTTTCCAAGTCATTTTGGGTCGTTTCTTTTGGTCCATTCGTCATGAAATTTACACACAATGTAAAGAACAACAGGCATTTTCAAATGATGTCAAAAACTGAAAAACTGCAAAAATGGAGATACAAGGTTTTGTTTCCCGACAACAGCGATATAAAACTCAGAAGACACATCCGGATTCACTGGTGGTTTTGGATAGTAAATAAAATGCTTATATTTGTGTTGTAGACATCGTGCCCCTCCTATCACCACCCCTGTCCTAAAAGAGACGAAGCATGTTGCTCCCACATGTGTGTATAACTTTCAGTGTTAATAGTGCTTTCACAGATGTTACCCACTGAGACACCCCCCAATTCTATGACTGACCCAGAAACTGTATGCTGGTATGAACAGAATGTAGAATAAAAAGTAATAATAGATGATGTACGAATAAGATGAACAAATAACACGCTATCTTTGAATATCTCCATATATATTAGCATAAGGTGACTATTTCTGAATCCAAGCTCAAAGCACATTTCTGTCCGTTGCCTTTTACTAACAGTGATCGATTTGTGCTGGTTGAGGTGTATAAATGTGACAAGTGGGAAACTAATGGTGGGTGGGATTCCCCATTCCTTCTTATGTTTATAAGAGGCACATTCTTTCATCATAACCTTGAATCACAACCCACATCATTTGTTATCGGCATAAAAGACAGTTTGGAATGCAGGTATGGATAGAAGACTGCAAGCCTGCAAGCTAGTTGGCCAGAAATTAATCCTGCCTGCATCAAACGTACGATAATCACAAAAAACTGCACAGAATGTCACTTTAAACGTTTAGGTTCTTCATCTCTGTTTGTGTTTTTCTCTAAATAGCGGTTGTCTCTGTGTTTTTAAGAGGTAGTAAAGCTGGTATGCCCATAAAAGGTAACAGAAAACGCCCAAAATATGCCCTTGTAAACATCACAAACTACAGATAACATGCTGGATCCAAACACTGACACATGCCAAATTGGTATCTTTTGTTTGGCTTTTGAGAAATAATAGAGCACATGCAAAGGTGTAGTTATTGGCAGTCCAGTCAGCTGTTTTGTTTTCTGTGGCTTGACCATTGATAAATGTTGTAGCCAGAGGTGCCATTACAGCGGGGAAAAAACAATAAAAACCACGCTGGTCAATAGAGATGAGGCAGCGCTGCTTTGATGTCCAAGCCTCGGGGACCAGCTGTGGTTGGAACTCGGTTTTTCTGAGTTCAATAACAGGATGTTTTGTGGTCTGGGCCGAGTTTCAGGAGGGCGTGGCGAGGAGCCAGGGGGCGGGCCAGCGGGCTCTCTTGGAGAGGCTCTGCGCTGTAAACAAGTGAGTCAAGCCTGCGCCTGGCCCAGCATGCGAGCGGCACGGCAGGGAGGCATGGCCGCGGGCGCTGGGCGAGGGAACGGGCGCAGTGTGTGAAAAAGCTCTGTGGGACGAGTCCTGATTGCATGTCTGTGCTAGAATGATGACAGACGTTCTGGCCCCTGGACTCGGTCAAAAACACTGTGCACGTTAGAGAAAAACAGCCAGCAGAGAAACAATGCACACTGCAGAGCAGGACTGACAGGATTAGATTGTTGTTTTGCCAAATGTGACATGTTTCCTGTGCAGGCTGGGTTATTTATATTAGCCCTTTCAGCTTCTTTGCAACAATAATGCTTAGTAAGGGTGACACATTTGTTCTCTCCTGTATACTCATGCATGTATATGTGTGTATTTATCTGTCTAGCTGTGCTTCATGGTGTTCTGGATACCTGGCGTGTCCGAGCGGATCCTGGTGGACGTAATAGGGGTGGATGCCGCGTTCGCACAGCTCTGCATTGTTCCTCTGCGGGTCTTCTCCTTCTTCCCTGTGCCAGGTTATATCCCTTGTCCACCACACCCACTGCTTGAAGCCATGGTGTCTGTCAACATGATCAATTCACATGTACAAATTACAATTTCAAAGCCAAAATACCAGCTCAATTCCAAACAAGTTGAACGGCTAATTAAAACAGAAAGCAGCGATTAGTAAATACTGTTTGACCTGCATTACATTGAACACGGTACAAAAACACAATAACAAATTTGATGCCCACAACACATCCCAAAAATGTTGGGATGGGTGCATGGTTTACCACGACAATAAGACATTACATAACCTGTCCTTTTAATTACACTTAATGATCGTTTGGTCATGCCAGTTGATCCAGTTTTGAGAGCGGAAATTTTTGCCCATTTCCGTTATGCATATTGTAATATTTTGCGCTTCATAACGCACCACCTGTTTTCAGTGGTTGACAGGTCTGGGCTCCAGGATGGCCAGTCTAGCGCCCACGCTCTCTGATTACCAGTGTTGGAAGTAACGAGTTACAAAGTAATGCATTACTGTAACTTCACTACTTTGGGCGGAAATTAGTAATGTGTCTAATTACCGTTTCAAATTTAATAATAATGACCTCCCGAGTGGTGCAACCATCTAAACCCTGTCATCAGGAGATCGCGAGTTCATCCCTGGTGATGCTACAGCCGTCTGTGCTGGGAGTCCAAGCGAGCGCAATTGGGTAGGATGGCCCCCCGTCTCCCCCATCACTCAGTGACACTCAGAACTGGCAGTTAGCGTCTCCTCCGAGCACGTTCAGCGGTCCAATGATGTTGCGTGAGCGACAGTTCGAAAAGATGCGCTGGAGCTTTGTTTGATTAGAAGTCAAACAAAGAAGCTTCTGGAGATTTTAGAACAATTCACTGACCACCTCAGAGTCCAGACCTCAACATCACTGAATGCGTTTGGCATTTCTTGGCTCGTAAAAACACTTTGGAGATATGAAAGACCATCCTGCAGATTTCTTTGAAAAACTGAAAACAACTCTTCCAAAAAGAATGGAGGCTGAAATAAATGAGTGAATGAATGAAGGAATGAATGAGTGATGATATGTTCAGTTGTTGGGGTTCATCAAGGGTTCTTTAGTAAAGAAAACGGATCTATAAAGAGCCATGAACACTCAAAGAGGGTTACTAAAGAACCCTTGAAGAACCATCTTTTTTAAGAGTGTAGCGTATGTGTTTTTCCTGACTCTAGTCTCTGACTCTGACTCTAACGGCTAGTTAAACCTGGAAATTAAATAAACGAACTCTCCATCTGTGAGAGACTAACAATGGCCCCATGTGACTCCTGACTCTCTCTTTGTGGTGCAGTGACTGTTCGGGCTCATCTGACAGGCTGGCTGATGACCCTGAAGAAGACCTTCGTGCTAGCGCCCAGCTCTGCGCTGAGGATCGCTGTGCTGATCATAAGCCTGACTGTGCTTCCCTATTTGGGGTATGCAAAACATCAGAGCAATGACTGTACGAAAACAAAGCGCTTCTGTAGGGTTGCATAAGTACCTGTATGTCTAGTTTCTCTGCTTTTCAGATTGTTTGGTTTATGTTGGTCATCCTGCTTCTACTGCGTACGTCACTTATTTTTACTTTGGTAGGAAAGACTCTCTCTCCCATCAAGCGAAAAGGGACCCTGCACTTTTTTGTTTCTGACTAAAACTCTCGGGGAGTTCAGAAGACATTCATAGCACATACATAACTTGAACTAAATATACATTAATAAATGCTTTATTTGCATTAGTAATATCTGACGAATGGACAGACAGAAATGGCCAAAATGGTCTGGAAAAACATCTGGTTCCATGATTTACATTAAAAGTAAAGTAGGTTTTTTCCTTCTCCTGTAAAGTTACCATTTTGGAGATGCGATGTTTTGTTCCAACAACAGCGATATGGTTATATATTATATATAATATTATATATGTATATATAGCAGAGCTATAGTTGTGTATGTGTATATATACACCGATCAGGCATAACATTATGACCACCTCCTTGTTTCTACGCTCATTGTCCATTTTATCAGCTCCCACTTACTATATAGGTGCACTTTGTAGTTCTACAGTTACAGACTGTAGTCCATCTGTTTCTCTGCATACTTTGTTAGCCCCTTTTACCCTGTTCTTCAGTGGTCAGGACCCCCATGGACCCTCACAGAGCAGGTACTATTTGGGTGGTGGATCATTCTCAGCACTGCAGTAACACTGACGTGGTGGTGGTGTGTTAGTGTGTGTTGTGCTGGTATGAGTGGATCAGACACAGCAGTGCTGCTGGAGTTTTTAAACACTGTGTCCACTCACTGTCCACTCTATTAGACACTCCTACCTTGTCGGTCCACCTTGTAGATGTAAAGTCAGAGACGATAGCTCATCTGCTGCTGTACAGTTTGTGTTGGTCATCCTCTAGTCCTTCATGGTCAGAGGATGCTGCCCACAGGACGCTGTTGGCTGGATGTTTTTGGTTGGTGGACTATTCTCAGTCCAGCAGTGACACTGAGGTGTTTAAAAACTCCAGCAGCACTGCTGTGTCTGATCCACTCAGACCAGCACAACACACACTAACACACCACCACCACGTCAGTGTTACTGCAGTGCTGAGAATGATCCACCACCCAAATAGTACCTGCTTTGTGAGGGTCCATGGGGGTCCTGACCACTGAAGAACAGGGTAAAAGAGGGGCTAACAAAGTATCAGAGAAACAGATGGACTACAGTCTGTAACTGTAGAACTACAAAGTGCACCTATATAGTAAGTGGAGCTGATAAAATGGACAATGAGCGCAGAAACAAGGAGGTGGTCATGATGTTATGCCTGATCGGTGTATGTATTATATAATATACATTTAGCATTCATAAACGTCTTTATAGGATTTTTGAGTGTGTTGCGTATGTAAGTAGGGCCTGTAACAGGAATCCGTAGGGAATAGCAGTAAGAAAGGGATACTAAGCAAATTTTCTCCCAGATTTTACATTCCTGCCTGTGTCTGCTTTATCCAGAACTAATTTGATGTCATGCTGCCTGTGAATTTTTGGACGGCCTAAAAATAGGATGGAGATTAGATGTTCTTGAGTGCTTTTGAATTAACGATGATTCAAAGCCACATATCTGTGGACCACTAGAGCTGCAAATACATGGCTGGGCTTAAATGCAGGCATTTCACACCTCTCCATAGATGGTAAAGCAAGTCTTCCTGGCATGATATATGCATGTACTTTCCTGTATATGGAAAAAATGCAAACCAAAAAAAAGGCTACCCACAGTAACAGAATAAATTCTGTTGTAATATCAAATGTATGCATTTGCCCTGCTAATGTGTAGCAGTCTCAGTGGCCAGTATATGTTTATTATGCACAATATGCAGGCTGTTCTGGGGACCAGTGTACATTTATTGAGTAAAATGCTCAGGCGCTGGACTCAGGACTGTATTCTTGAACAGGATCCATGGTGCTACGCTGGGAGTGGGCTCTCTGCTGGCTGGCTTCCTGGGGGAGGCCACGATGGTGGCGGTGGCTGCGTGCTATGTGTACCGAAAACAGGTAAGCAAACATCAAATTTAAAAATCGAGGTGCTGCAGAATCTTTCCAAAACACGAACCCCCATTCAAGAGTTTGGAATTATGTGTCATATTGACATATTCAGTAATAATTTATACAGCATATCGCTGTTGTCGGAAGAAAACCTCGTATCTCCATTTTTGTCGTTTTTCAGTTTTTGACATAATTTGAAGATGCCTGATGCCCTTTATATTGCATGTAAATTTCATGATGAATGGAGCAAAACAAACGGCCCAAAATCACTTGGAAAAAAAGTCTGGTTCCATTGACTTACATTAAAAGTAAAGCAGGTTTTTTCCTTCTCCTGTAAAGTTACCATTTTGGAGATACGAGGTTTTGATCCGACAACAGCGACATAATCTACACACTAAAGTGTAACTCCATGGTTTATACATGACGTTAGGTATTTTAAGAACAAAAAGAAATAGCATTGCTAGTTCATGTTATTAAATTATTAAAGGTAATTAAGTAATAATAAACTAATCATCCATTTATAGTAATTTTCCTGTCATGAAATTATTGTGAATAGTTATGTGAGATCTGATCACTGATTTTGATAGGAGACATTCTGTGTATTCATTTTATAGTAAGTTCATTCTTAATGCTATACTGCTATATCTGCAGCTCCATTAATCACTGAAAAAGTCATAATTTTTGCAGCTTCCTACAAATTGTTTGAAACCCACAGAATATAAGCATCATATTTTAATTATTTTATACCTGTATCTGCAACAGCACTGCCTTTATGATATTATAAATAGTGACTTCAAACTTTTTAGAGCATGTATAAAGGCACATTTTTAGGTTGTAAATACAGTTTTAATTCTATTCTATGAAGCAGTGTTAGTTTTAACATTAATCGTGTACTGTCTAGTCCACACAACCAATATACGTAAACTGAGCTGGCTAAAGAGCATGTTTTAAATTCATCATGGGTGTGATGTCATAACCATAAACATATTTACATAAGACTTTTTTTAAGCCTACAGCTGTTTAGCCAGCCCATTTATGGTGATGTAATAAGAACTGTTGTCACTGCAGCCAGTCTGTAGCACAGTTATTTAAGTTTCAGTGCAGGCTTTTGCCATATTGACGCATTTACAAAGTTCACTGTGACAGACTTGGGCCCAATCCCATTTCAACCCTCGCCCCGCTTAGCCCTCTGTTTTGCGCGTTCACGTCTAGGGGTAGGGTGTCCCGATTTTTGTAGGGCTTAGTGTTTGGGCTACATGACAGAGGGTTTTCAGCGGCTCCAAACAGAGAGTTATGAGAAAAAAAACAGCAAGATGGCTGAACAAGAGACCAAAGAAACCCACAAATGTGAGAATTTTCTCCGTTAAAAATTACGATAATCATTGTTTTATTTTAGTTTAATGTCGTTTGAGTGTATTATGGTCGTTTTTTCATAACAAGTGTAAAAAATCACTAACAGTATGCTGATGTCTCGGTAGCTAGCTAGCTAACTTTCCCGTTCCACCTTAAATAGTCCAGCAGTTCTGACGCCTGAACTGCCAGAATGTAACTGCTGCACCATTTAAGGTGGAACGGGAAACTTTGAACAAGAAGCTGGTGAATTTCTGACTTCAGCTTCATATCACTGAAGAATCAGTGGTGGGTGATAATAAATAACTGCCTCCCTCTTTGAAGGCATATGATGCCCTAAATGTAACTAAAGCCCAGCAGTGAGGAGCTGAACTTTACCCTCCTCTGCTGTCACTGCAGACTGGCAGGGTTGCCTACAGAGCAGCGCTGGTAGCTGTTAATGAAGTGATGCTCTTTTTATTTGAGGGTCCCATTTCAGAGGGAAGATTTCAACCACTACCCTGTAACTCAGTTCCAAGGGGTTAGGGTGACACTCGAAAACAAGGGGTAGGGGTGATAAGAAGAAATGGGATTGGGCCTTAGTTTCATGATGCTACATGAGGAACAATCAGCATGGGTTTCCTCTGAGAGCACTCATTATGAAAAAAGCTATAAGCTAAATCCACAAATGTCCCATTTACAAAAAAAATGAAAGTGAACATAACCATATTAGGTCTAATTTGCTCTGTTTACAATTTGAATGCAATGTGTTTATGGAAGACACTAATGGAGACTTGCAATGATTACCTTCTGAGCACAACCACAGGCCCAAAATTGGTGTATTACATCTATCGTGTCATGCAGTGCATGGCACACCTGTAAGGTAAGGGTCATGGCTTTGTAGTACATTACTGATGTCATTTCCTTTCTCTCTCATTCAAATACCCAGAGGAAAAAATCGGACACGGAGGTGGTCGTGCAGGCAGAAGACGCTGCCCCGATGACTGAGGTCCCATCCAGGACTCAACTAGACAGCGTCCAAGAAATTACAGAGCAAGACAGGCAAGGGGAGGAAGATGGAGAACGAATTGAAGGGTGAAAATCCGAAAAGGTGGCTGGACAGGATGAAGCGATCTAAAGTCTTGACAAGGTTTTTGCCTACAACTGAAATAACGGTGCAAATAAGGACAGTTTGTTGGACAATCCACTGTATCCCACTTCTGACACCAACACAATACAGGACCACCTGCTGTGGGATGTGGACATTGAGACTGAATTTATGTACACTATATGTCCAAAAGTATTCAGACACCCTTGTAATTAGTGAATTCAGCCACTTGAAGGTGCTGACATGTTTATGTGTGCACAATAGAAATGCATTGGAGATAGAATGGGACCCTGTGGAGCAGTGGAACTATGTTCTCTGGAGTGTTGGAGCACATCGAATACCTTTTGGAATGATCGCCCAACATCAGTACATGACCTCACTAATGCCCTTGTGGTTGAATATAATCAAATCCTCACAGCAATGTTCCAAAATCAAGCTTGAAGCCTTCCCAGAAGAGTAAAGGGGGACAAAAAAAAAGGGGACAAACTCCCCATTAATACCCTTCATTTCAAAAGAAACGTAAGCAAGTCTCTACACCTTTGGACATGTAGTGTATCTGCCATAGCACTTTCTGCACTGATGGAAACTTTTTTCTTGCACATACAAGTTCTTGCAAGACTTCCTGCACAGCAGCCGACAAACAAACCTTTGCCAAAGCAGCAGGACTGGTGAACTGGTGGATGTTTGTGCCCTCTTTATTGAGCTTAGCTGTCAAAAACGACAAGTAACTGTGTGAAGGGAGATGCTCCTCCACCCTAAGATGCATCAACAGCACATCGAGGGGAGGTGCTTTCTTTTTTTTGCGACAATCACAGACCTGCTAGCTGCTGAACTCTGCCAAAACATACCGGCTGGGCTTGTTTTGGCCTTGAAACGCACAATAGCTGTTAGCGCACAATAGCTATAGCACATTTACTCTGGTGAAATGTATATTTTGTTCGGGTTCTGGTTTTGAGGGATATTACATATATATTTTGAATTCTTCTATATTTTTATAAATGTCAGATATTCAACTTTTAGTCTAGTTTTCTATAAGAGGTTTAGCTAAGTAAAGCCCACTGAGGTAAAGAAAACTTTACTGAAAAATATCAACACAGGCATCAAGATATCAGTACAGGACTGCATTATCTATCATTTTTTGAGAGTTTCAAGCAGGACATGAGTGCAGCGTAAGAGCCTTCAAATCTCTGGAATAATGATAGCTTAGCGAAACCATGTAGAACCTTTCCCAATCCCAAGATCCTTGGCTTAAATCCACGATAAGATGCACTCCCTGACCTCCTCAAACCTTCAAACACTGAATAACAAAACCCATGAAAGCTCACTTGATTACATAACTGAGTTATAACTCTTCACAGGTGATACGGTAGTGTGCAAAAGTCAGAGTGAGTCACTCTTCACCTTTATTCCAGCTTCCATTCCTTTCAGGAGACTCACTTTCAGCTCCTCAAAGAATCTGCAGACACACCTCCAAAGTTCAGTCTTAGAAGCTGGTTGATAATTTTCTGAAGTAATCAAACCCATTCAGTGGTGTTGAGGTCTGGACTCTGGGGTGGTCAGTCCATCGTTCAGCTTCTTTGTTTGATGTGTCCGTCTCCTTTTCTCAGTGAGGTTCTTCTTGATCAGCTACACATCCTTTCAGACCCACAGCGCTGAGTCGTCTTCTCACAGTGGAAGGATGGACAGAAACACCTGTGGATGTTTTCAGATCTGAAGCAGCTTGATTTTCTCCTCTCTCTCAGAGATGAAAACTTGAAGTGCTGTTTATCTGATGGGGGCAGCTTTGGTGTCTACCAGCTCTTCCAGGTGGTTGTTAGGAGCCACATTTTCTCTGTAGCTTTTAACCATTTTTAAACTTCATTTTGGCAAACTTTTTTTTTCATGCAAGATTATCTAATATCTAATCTCCATAGAATTTTTACCTGAGAAATGAATAACTTGTGACTAGTACTTAATGGCCATTTTAACTCGAAATTAAATGAAGGGCGCTCTCTGGCTTTTGCACATTACTATATATTCAAAAAAAACTTTGGTGTGCAATATTCTTTGCCATTTTCTGTCCTACATATATATGAAAAAGAAACAATAACAAAAAGCATTTTGTTTTATTTTGGGAATGGCTATAAAGTTCTGCCTATTAACTGACAATTTGTTGGACTCTCAGCCTTTAAGTTCACTTATTAAAATCATTTTGGACGTTCTGTAGATGTGTGGTTTGGTGGGCAGTTTCAGTTCCAAACGTCTTCAACAAGCACATTACTGTCCACTGTAATCAGAGTGATTTCTGGACTTGATGCTGTTCTTTCAGGCCTGTAAAATTTCTTCTGGTGCTGTTATTGTTGTATCATTCACATCTGGACCAGCTATAAAGACAATCCACATATCGCTGCTGTCGGGACAAAACCTCCTATCTCCATTTTTCAGTTTTGGACATAATTTGAAAATGCTTATTGTTCTTTACATTGTGTGTAAATTTCGTAATGAACTGACCAAAATAAACATCCCAAAATGACTTGGAAAAAATTCTGGTTCCATTGACTTACATTAAAAGTGAAGTAGGTTTTTTCCTTCTCCTGTAAAGTTACCATTTTGGAGATATGAGGTTTTGTTTCTGACAACAGCGATATGATGCTGGAATCGTTAGCAACCCATTACCTTTAACATTAGCATCAATCTTCAATTTTTCACAAATGGTGCTGTCAGCGTCTATAATTCATAACATATACATGCATTTGTACAGTCGAAAAGAGGGGCCAGGTCAAAGTAAGCTAGTTAGAAGTTGCATGTTTAACTGCATTTTGCATACGGTTGCCTGCTGACTTTAATTTATGGTATCCTCATTATACTGTTTGTCAAATAAACCTTTGTCTAAAGACCTGTTCTTTCTCTGAGCCTCCTATTAGCGAAAGCATCGAGATGACAAGTTTACTTTGTTCATAAAATATTTTATTGATTTACATCCACGAACAAATGGGCTAGTCCATACACCACAAAGACGACCATATTACATTCTTTCCAGTTTCATGACAATACTGAACCTTACAGGTTTGCTAATCATTATTTATTTTTTTTCCCAACAAAAAAATTGGCTTGATGACTTTATGTATCTTATATCCGTACTAACTGAGTGCAAAATGATGTGGCACTTCTTGCTCTTAAAAGCGATAATAAATTCAAGTCTTCTGGGTATAAGAGTGGCACTTCGTGTGGAGCACCTTTTATTATTTTAAGTTAGTATATTTTTTGTTAAATTAGCTATAATTTACATAGTAGTACTGCTAACATTTAAAGAAATGTTAGAAATGTTTTTGGCAGCATTTATTAAAACCAGCTTAAAGGTGCAGTGTGTAAGATTTAGTGGTGAGGCTGCAGTTTGCAACCATCTGAATCATCCTCCCTCACCCTTCCCTTTCCAAGCGTGTAGTAGAACCTACAGTGGCCAGCAGGTTTTCTGCCGTCGCCTGTCCCGACTTCGTTTTGCTTCTTCATGTTTTTGCTTCTTTGATGATGAGGATTCATCCTCCCTTGTGCTAAATAATAAACCTGATCCTCCATTTGTCAAAATTTGGGTTCTCAAACTTCTTGCAACCTAAAATGGTCAGCCAGCAACAGCAGCAACCACTGATTCTTCTTCTTTCTACGTCTTCCAACCGGAACTACAGTGCCACCAAATTCAAGTTGCTGCTTCAGCGTAAGAATGCGAATGGCGCCCTCTAGAGCCAGTGTTTGGTTTGTCTATTCTCAACTTCCGTAGAAACATAGCGGCACAACATGGCGCCCTCTGTTGGAAGAGGAGCCACCAGAGCCAGTTTATGAAGAGACTGACCTCTTCCTATTTCCCCTATTATATCAAAAACATGACTCCAAAACGCCAGAGGGCCACTGTGAGGGAGTTCTCAAGTAATGGGAGTGAATGAAGCTAAACGGCTAAAAACGAAAAGTTAAAATAGTTTCTAATCACTCGCCCAGAACTTTCCTTTAATTTTAGAAAGTAGAAGGATGGATTTCACTAAAAAAGCAAAGAAAACTTACCTATATCTTTAATTTTTTTCCACAGTAAACGGGTTTTGGGCAGCAGGACGCTAACATTACTGCTACTGAGTGCTGATTGGTTGGTGAGCGGAGCAGCTCATTGGCTGTTTGTGCTCACAGACGTTATGTACGTACGAGACGCCGTTTTAAACTCCTATAACTCGAGTTTAAAAGCGGAGTTAAAATGTTTTATGCTGCTCTGTGTTCAGGATATGAATGTATTCTTTTATATGTAAACATGTTTAAGCATTTATAAACTATGATTTTGTTTAAACGCTCCATATTAACTCATTCATTTTATACTTGCTCCGGAGCGCCCTCTAGTGTTTGAGAAACCCAGAAGACATTACAGAGTGGGAATTCTCCTCTCTACAAGTTCTCTTTCAGGGCTCATTTGAAGGGACCTTAGAAGGGCTCATTTTAAGCTAACGAAAACACAACGATTCATAGCTACAGGTGATTATACACTAATAAAAACATGCTTTTCCGTTTCTGCTAATACAGGGGTGTCCAGTCACACCCGCAAAGGGATGGCATGGCTGCAGGTTTTCATTCCAGCAAAACAGGAGATCACCTGATCAGTTGTTCGACTGAAACCAGTTGATTAAAGAAGTGGAATCAGGTGAGCTCCTGCTTGTTTGGAATGAAAACCTGCAGCCACACCGGCCCTCTGGGGGTAAGACCGGCCCCCCACCCTGTGCTAACGGACTCCCCTAAATCTTACACACTGCACCTTAAAGTCAGACGCTCAACAAAATTTAAAAAAAAAAAACAAAAAAAAACTTGTATTAACTAATGATGTAATACCATTCAGTGTTCACTTCTATTATCTAACACAGAAGGCCTCAATCTGGTCCTCAGGACCCAAAACAGTCCATATTTCCCTGTGTGAACAAACATGTGGACCATCTGGGGGGCCCTGAGGATCAGTTTCAGAACCACTGATCTAACCACTTCAGATCATACTAATGGCAAACAAACCTAGTTTTGTTAAGTGTTGCAAAAATGCCAGCTACACTACAGACTTTTTCAGTTCTGCCATATTTCAAAACATTCACTTGCATCTGTTTTTAAAGTCTTCATAAAAACAAAACAACAAAAAAAACACAATTCCCAACATGATTCTTACTTTTCACAATATTAACATTCTATTCTTTCGCTACACCAGCGTTAATGAACTACCACTGAAATGAATTCTGTCGTCTGGAGGTTCTCAAAGATCCCCAGCACTTTTTTTTTTTTTAAATATTCCAGCTTCCAATACACCTGAGCCAAATAAGCATTTTATAGCCCTTGATTACATAGTACAGATGTTCTGGGAGCTGAAATAAAAAAAAAAACGCAGACTGGATGGTATCCCTGTGGTCTGATGGGAACGTGTGATGTAGTCCAACAGTGCAAAACAACAATTCGAAAACAGTAGACTAGCCTTTACCAAGGCAATAAGTGGGTTTTTCTGGAGTCACTGGGGCCTCAGTTCTCAAACACCAAAACGATTTGATCATAACTGTGTACAGCAGATTCAGACCGATCATGACTGTGCACAACAAAATGCCAGTGTAAGGATATATAAATTCCAGCAAACACAACGTAGACGGCGCCACGTGCCTGAGCTTCAGCATCAGGCCTTAAGACTTTTTTTAGGTGTAAGACTTTGTCACCTGTATTACGATAAAAGATGAACTAACATTCATTGCAAGTGCAGCAGTTCAGTTTTTTAGCATCAATTATTCAGAATCATTTTCTTAAAACTGTATACAGCTAGTATTTCTCAAAATTATGTATACATCTGGTGCCATGAAATAGCTTCTGCCCCCCTGTCTGAACGTGACTGCTAATGCCTGGACCACACTACAGGATAACCAAGCCGATTCTGAGGCCAATATGCTTTTTCCGACAATTGCAAAAGGTTTCCCAATTTCAGGCTGGATTAAAATTCTATATGTATATTAAAAGTATATATATATATATATATATATATATATATATATATATATATATATATATATATACACACACATATATACACAGTGGTGCTTGAAAGTTTCTGAACCCTTTAGAATTTTCTATATTTCTGCATAAATTTGACCTAAAACTTCATCATATTTCCTCATATTGTATCATTATTCTTCCAAATAAATGACCAAGTCTAATATTTTTGTCTCATTTGTTTCATTTGGTTCTTCTTATCTACTATTAGGACTTGTGTGAAAATCTTTAGGTCAAATTTAAGCAGAAATATAGAAAATTCTAAAGAGTTTTCAAGCACAACTGTGTCTGTGTCTATATATATATATATATATATATATATATATATATATATACACACACACATCATCTAAACCGCTTATCCTTCTGGGTCGCGGTGGGGTGCTGGAGCCTATCCCAGCTGTCACTGGGCGGAAGGCAGGATACATATATATATATACACACACACACACATACATACACACATACTGATGAGCTAAAACATTATGACCACTCACAGACGAAGCAAATAATGTTGATTATCTAACATGTAACGATGCCATGTCAGGTTCTGGTTCTGGAATATATTCAGTCATTATGTAGTTGTTGTGTTGGATGTAGGAGAAACGGGCAAACCTGAGGACTTCAGCACCTCTGACCAGGCCCAAACTCTTACAGCCAGACGACTGGGTCGGCGCATCCCCAAAACGCCAAGACTTGTGGGGTCCTCCTGGTCAGCAGTGATGAGGTTACTGATATTGGTCCAAAGGAGGGACAAACCATGAACCAGCGACAGAGTGCCAGGTGCCCAAGATGCATGAGGGCAATGAAGGCTAACCTGTCTGGTCTGAACCCACAGAAGTGCCACTGTGGCACATTCCAGAAATTGCTGCAGACCGTGGACAGCCAGGTACGTGTGCTCCGTTTTCCCGGGGAAGTGATGGCACCAGGATGCATTGTGGGAAGAAGACAAGCCGGTCGAGGGAGTGTGGTGCTCTGGGCGATGTTCTGGTCCAGACATTCTTGTGGAAGTTCATTAGACAAGTGCCACCAACCTGAACATCACTGCGGACCAGGTCATGGCGATGGTGTTCTGCATTGGCAGTGGCCTCTTTCAGTAAGATAATGCACCCTGCCACTCTGCACACACTGTTCGGGAAGGTTTGAGGAACATGAAGACAAGTTCAAGGTGTTGCTCTGGCCTCCAGATTCCCCAGATCTCAATCCAATCGAGCGGAGATGTGCTAGAACAGCGAGTCCGATCCATGGCGGCACCACCTCACAACTTACAGAAGAAATGTTTGTTGTTGTTGAAGGATCTGCTGCTGACGCCATGGAGCCAAATACAAGAGGTACCTTCAGAGATCTCGCAGAATCCATGGCTTTGTTCACACAGCAGGTAAAAGTGGCCCAAATCCGATCTTTTTCTTCATATGTGACACAGATGAGTGTCTGTGTGTCTGTGTGAACAGATAAACACACTGAATCTGACATTTTCAATTCCGATTTGAGAAGCTTTCATATGTGGTACTGAAATCCAATATGAATCCGATCTGCGGCAGAGCGACCCTGAACAGCCAGATCGGAATTCATGCGACTTTTTACTTCGACCCAACTCCACATTTGTCATAATTTCACGCTGCTGAGACTCATAAACATTTGGGGTGATGTTTCTATTCAAAAAACTAGAAGAGACGTATCCAAACTGCTCTGTGTTTGAAGAAATGTCGAAAGAAATGTCCGAACGTGGCTGTAGGAGAACGAGGCTGCAGCGTCAAAGAACAGTTAAAAGTCTGAAAGCACCTCCGAGTGGCGCAACCGTCTGAGCGTTGGCCCTGTCATCAGGAGATTGTGAGTTCGATCCCTGGTGATGCTACAGCCATCCGTAGCCGGGAGTCCGAGAGAGCACAACTGGCCTCGCTCTCTCTGGGTGGGTGGGATGGCTGCCCTTCTCCCCCCATCAGTCACTCAGCGCGATGCTAGTCAGCGCAGGCGTCTGTTAGCTGACGTAACAGATCTGGCGGTTGGCGCTTTCCTCCGAGCGCGTTCAGCTGTCCAGTGACGTTGCGTGAGCGGCAGCTCGAAAAGATGCGGTGGCTGGTTTCACAGGTCTCGGAGGAAGCCTGTGTTAGCCTTCACCCCCCTAGCGTTGATAGTACTGTGTGATTGGGGGAGTCCTAACTAGCGGGTGGGATTGGAGACGACTAAATTGGGGAGAAAAATCGGGTAAAAATTGAGTCTGAAAGCAAAGTTTTAAGAATCTGAGGACACAAACCAAAGAAGTGACCGCGCCCTTTTTACGGCTCAAACACATTCTGGGTGATGAGCCCAGCTGCCAGTCAGTGAAGCTTCATGATGGCTCCTGTGATGCTGGAGAAGATGAAGCTGATCCTCCAGGAGCAACTGGCGTTCGTTCATAGTCATGATTGTTTACCTCTGGATGAGCCGCATGAAGCTGAGAAAATCAGATTTGGGCCATTTCACCCTGCAGTATGAACGCAGCCCATGTCTCCTCGAGTCAGAGCTGTTATGGTGGCATTCATACTAGGCCATAATGTGGTCATAATGTTTTGGCCCATCTGTGTGTGTTTGTGTCTGTATACATCCTTTTATCTGTCTTGCTGTCGTCTGCCATCTTTGTTTTGATCTAAAATCACGTTGGTTCATGAGAAATTCTGCAAGATCTCAGATTCTGAGCGATGGGACTGTTTTTGATGCTCGGTTTACGAGAATATTCTGAAAGAATGTGGTGTTTTGTTCTGGGCAAATCTTGTAGTGTTGGGGGCTTTCATGACTGAACGATGACTAACGACAAAAAAAATCCATGGAATCTATCATTATGTATACGATCACTCATTTTCAACATCGCTTAGGACTGAAAAACCCTTAAGTGTGGGCCAGGCATAACATATACTGTGCAGCCTTTGTGCTAAAATATCAAATGTTGATATTTACCATAACAAAACCCTTAACAAAAATCAGTCACTACTCTTTCAGGGCACTGCTACACTTCAAGGCTGAATAACCTTCCTCTGGAGCAAAACACATAAGGTTAAACTGTACTGAAGTCACTAAGGCTGTTCATGTCGGCACAGTTTCGAGAACAGTTCAGTTTAAAATTAAAAGCTGTGAGTAAACAGTGCAAACTTAAGCTTTGGCAAATGATTGTAAACTCATATTTAATACAAAATCTAAGCAATGTCTCTAAATGAGACCCCTGTGCTGAAAAGCACTGCACTGCACTGTAGGTGATACCTCTAATGAGTACTGTTAGCTTTTTGCTGCATGCGCTGAACACATAAAAAACTGTTACATGTAAACTATTCTTCATTAATTAAATATATACCAGTAAAACAAGGAGTCAGTTGGATCTTATAAACGAGTCTGTTCCTCTGATCACCTTCCAGAAGTCATTTTTAAGGCCAATCAGCTGAGATGAGGCCAAAGTGCTGAGAGGTTGTGGTTAAGCTGGTGTTGTGCTCGTTTCCTGATGGGGACGTTGTAATGTCGATCGTCCTCTGTGACGATGCACACACAGGGCCAGTCCTGTTTGTGGTCATCAGGGTAGTGCGTCACAAACTCCTCGGTGTCCATCTTGTAGAGGCGGAAGGTCTGAATGGTGTGCTGTAAGGCGTAACCCAGCAGAAACATCTCCACCTACAGGACAGAAGGTATAAGTATATATTGAAGGAATTGTGGTTGTTGTGGCACTTAAAGCAATTGTTGGGCCAAACTTACCCCAAATGTAGTCAATGGCTGTGTTTACATGCAAAGATTTTTGCCAATCTGATTAAATACATTCCGATTATAGATTAAGACTGAGGTGTTTATGCTCACTCTACTCAACAATCTGATGGAAACTCTCTGTTTACATGAAATCAGTACCGACGTTACCATGACAACCAGCATCACGTGAGTCCAGTCAGAGTGAGGTGAGCAGCGCTTGTGTTTTTAACTGCTTTAAAATGATGTCAGACTCAGGAAAATGTACTTCACATGTCCTTATTAAGGAAGGCCGAGAGGAAGGCGCCGTGTTCTGAGACACATAAGCTGGACGTCCGTCCCACCGCCGTCTTTTAAAGATCAGAGCATAAACTTCGTCTCCTCTGCAGACCAGTTTCTGCTCCGCCATGTTGAACGGTATAAACTTTCACTATGACGCGACGAACATGATCAGAACGGACTTAAACTTTCCGATAGGGAATGTAATCAGATACAGGCGTTTACACGGATATTATTCTTCTATTTAACAGGTTATTTACAGGATTACCCACCTCGATCAATAGGATAGAAACTGTATTCCGAATGGCCTGAATCGGACTAGTCAGTCTATTCTGATTGAGGTATTTACGTGGACGTATTCTATTCTGATTGAGCTATTAGATGGATTATTAACGGATTATCAGGCTGCATGTAAACGTGGCTAACAGGCCTATTCACATTGGCTTAGCTTATAAGGGGGTCGTCTGTAACGTTTTTATGTCCTTATGGATAAACTCTTGCATCTGGATAGCACTAAAATTACTGCAGCAAGAGGGAGTTTCTAGTGAGCATGGATGTTTAAGTGATGCAACTGGTCATTATTTCTAGGAAACTAAAAGTCGATGATATTGTGCACGTGTGAGTATTATGTATTGCTGTAGCTGCCATTATAATTGCTCCTTTAATCAGCCTGCAGGATCTCACTTTTCTGACTGACTGTTCTTTCTCCTCCTGTTAATACTTTCACAGTGTAGAAAGGATGGTGAAAAAGTTCTACCCCCCAACCAAGTACATGGTTGAGAGCCTTTTCCAAACGTCAGAATTCCTCCTCTTTTTGTCATGAGGCGCTCAGACTAGACGACAGAGCAAAGAAAGAGAATAACACACATAAAGAGTTTGGGCTACGAATGAGAACTCAAACACCACAAACAAAGCTAAACTTACTGGACCTGTTTGGGCTTTTATATGCAGCAACAGTGCGAACTGGGGATTGGTATGTGGTGAGAAACGCTGATATCACAGTGAGAGCTGGAGAAATATTTCACTACAAACTGGCAGCTGAGCTGAAGCTGTAAAGACAGTGACCTGATCTGGATCAACATTATAAACATGATATTGACTCTTATCTGCCTGTGTTTTACACTCAGCTCCTCTGTCTCCGCTCCGCTGTTCATGAGTGTCTCTTTGCCTTTTCTTCACTCTTCCAGCTCTCTGATTGGCTGTTTGAATCACTTGATGAGTAAATCTCTGACCTTCTCACTCTGCAGGACTCGTGAACACTCTAAGTCATAAATATCAACATGTCTGATAATATCGGAGGATCTCTGATCACTTCAGAGTTCGATCGGAGGGCAAAAGAATCACTTGTTTCGCCGCTCACAATATCAGATCATCCACGCGGTCAGTCGCTTCTGATCGAGCTCCCGACCTGGAAAATCGTCGCAAGGGGCAAATCAGGCTTAAAATCGATCAAAAAAGTCATGTAGTGTAAGTTAAGCTACCCTTTATTAGTCCCACACTGGGAAAATTCCACCTCTGCATTTTAATCCATCCGTGCAGTGAAACACCCACATACACACTAGTGAATGTACACACACTAGGGGGCAATGAGCACACTTGCCCGGAGCGGTGCCCTGGGAGCAGTTGGGGTTTAGGGGCCTTGCTCAAGGGCACTTCAGTCACATACGGTCAGCTCAGAGAATCAAACTGGCGAACTTCCAGACACAAAGCTTGTTCCCTAACCTTCAGCCCACGACTGCCCCAAATTGTTATCTTTAAAAATGGACAAAAGTACGTCAAATAGCTAAAAATGGTAACTGAAGCTTTGAGGCAAAATGACTTGAGATACAGCTCGAGAAGTTTGGCCTCTTTATAAGATATTAAATTACATTTGTAAGCAATACTTTTAATTTTCTGGGTATTTTCAGTACATACTTCTTAAAATGTCAATGCTAACGTGAAATAATTCCTCCCTTGCATAATAATTCCTGTTGCATAAAGCATATGTCACTTCATACTGCTGGTGTATATAGAGTGTATTAGTATTCACTGTGTGTAAAAACATGGTATCTACCTGCTCTACCCCTCCACCGAAACCGACTTGGCTCAGGTGATTGCTGAGGAGTGTTTTGGGATTTTCTGATGTGTCCCGGGCGAACAGTAGCCAACAGAACACAGGCACTTCTTCTCCCGCCTGCATTTTGCCATGCAGCTCCACTGCCCTGGCCAGCATGAGGAACTTCAGCACCTCCAGAAGACCATACTCTTCCTCCCTACCCTGAAACACACGCTCACACAAACGCTGCTTCTCCTCTAGGCTCTCTGTCTCAGCCGCTGCCTGCCACTGGGAATAAACACAGCCAGACATACATATAGTTATAAGATAAACGACAGTATGATGCATAACTGATGAGTGTTTATCTGTATAAAGCATTTATCTGTCTTAAAGCCCCACTTATGGATTTATTATTGTGTAAATGCATACTCGGTCTAAATGTATTGTTAAAAAAGGCCAACCATTAAAAACCTGAAATTAACTGACTGTAATGAAAAGAAGACAATTCTGTAAACTTCAAATTAGTCAGTCTGCTTTGCCTAATATTGAGAATTATTTTTAAGACACCTTAATGGGAGCAATATTTCATATTATAGACACTAACTGTTTAGTCCTGCAGGGCCGGATGGGATCTCCCAACAAGAATACACGTCTGGAGACAACCTGTTCAACTCTCTGGACCTCTGATTTAGTTTTGTTGATTCAATGGAGCCACTTTTGCAGAAAATAACTCAACAAATGTCTTGGCTTGTTTGCCAGCAAGATACAGTAAAAGTTTAGTCTACTCTCTTCTCAGTGGTGAATATATGTATTTATGTATTTTAACAGCATTATTGTTTGCTGCGGACAACTGGTGTCCGTTTCACAGGCTTGTTGTCTGTTGGATAATGCTGAGAGGCGCCCAATACTTGGAGCTCTGCCTTCAAGAAACGTTGGTTTAGTTCAGAACTTTCACTTTCGCTTTGTTCCCATCCTAATAAGTCTATGTTCCCACCCACATCTGGCCCAAAATGTCTCTTAGTTTTCCCCAGATGTGTTTTCCCATTACACAATCACATCTGGCCTCCAAGACTAAATGGCTATGTTCATACACCCTGTAAAAGTGGCCCAAATCCAACCTTTTTCTTCATATCTGACACAGATGTGTGTCTGTGTGTCAGTGTGAACGGCAAAAAACACACTGAATCTGACGTTTTCAATTCCGATTTGAGACGCTTTCATATGTAGTGCTGAAATCCGATACTTATCCGATCTGCGGCAATGGATCGGATCGGAATTCATGCGACTTTTACATCAATCCAGTCAAAATTTAGCGCTGCTGAGACCTCAAACATTTAGGCTGATGTTTCTGTACAAAAAAAAAGAGACTCATCACAACTGCTCTGTGTTCGAAGAGACTTCGAAAGAAATGTCCGAACGCGGCTGCAGGAGAACGAAGCTGCAGCGTCAAAGAACAGAAAGTCTGAAGGCAAAATTTAAAGACTCCGAAGACATGAACCAAATGAGTGGCCGCGCCCTTTTTTACGGCTCCAACACATTCTGGGCGATGAGCCCAGCTGTCAGTCAGTGAAGCTTCATGATGGCTCCTGTGATGCTGTTGAAGATGAAGCTGAACTCGTTGGCAGTTATGATTGTCACCTCCGAATGAGCCGCGTGAAGCAACGTGCAGTATTGTTTATTGCGCATGTGGGTCAGATTAGGAGCTGATCTGTTCAGATCAATGTTGCATATAGATCACATTTAAGATACTGTGAACAGCCAAACAAAAAAATCGGACCACTTTTACCTGCTGTGTGAACGTAGCCAACGTGTACTATCAAGACTTTTTTGTCTTCGGCTACTAATGAAAATACTGATGGGTGCAAAAACAGTTTGGGCGTATTTGGTAAATCCAAATAAAATAATTACTAAAATTTTCAATTTGCTGACTCAGCTAAAATGCATATTAAGACTTTGTGTCACGTACACTAATGAAAATGGTATCTAATGAAATGACAGGAGTACATCGGTATTTACCCTTTTCTGCAGGAGCTCCAGATAGTGCTTCAGTTTTTCCACTGCATCCTCCTTTTCTCCTACTTCCCTACACTCCGAAGGGAATGCCCATCCACCAATCAGGTGCTCCTGAGATTCAAGTTTCTCTGGCAACTTAAGAAATCGACCAATCAGTGGTTAGTACTGGGTGGCTGCAGCTACACAATCCATACAGTTTGGGAGTTCAATGTGTTTATGAGAATTCAACAAGTGAGCAGAGACTATCACTGAAAGCACAAATGAAATTAGAGAATCCGATTTTAAACGTAATCAAAACACACCAGACTTACGAAGGTCACTGCACTGGTTCTTGTAAGAACGAAATGTCTTCTGCCTTTGCTCCACATGGCTGTTTTTTATCACTAAGCACTGTTTTTTATTAGACATCTGAATCAGATACTCTGCTTCAGGGAGCCTTTATCCCTTTTGACCTGCTGGGATTGTTTCATCCACTTGCAACGAGTTGGCTGACCTTAGCAGAACAATGTCATCCATTGTTCATTGTCTCAGCTGCGAGATTCCTAATGACCTAATCAGTGTGGGACACATCTGTGAGCGCTCACCGATGTGAAGTCCTCTTCCAGAAGCCAGGCTGGTGTCTGTGTGGTGGTGGCCAGCACCTGATACAGAGTAGCCCTCAGGGCGCAGTAGTTGTCCCCTCTTACTCTCCGCAGGCTGCTAAAACTGCAGGACATCTCTGAATAGCCCTAAGAACATTCAAAACACAGGGGTATTAGCTGCTACTGGCAGAAAACAAAGGAATATAGAAGGGTTGAGTCAAACAACAATAGCCGATTGTTAGATGATTTGAAGTCAGAAAAGTCAGTTGTTTGCTTGTTGGCTTTAAGGTGCACAAAAGTGAATTATATCTAATCTGGGTTTCTTTTTATTCTTGCAGTCCAATACAAGCCATAATATGCTGTCTGTCTTCAGAGCAGGGCAACAAAACATCAGTCTAAGGCGGTGCAAGGCAGCATATTTTTCCTGTAAGGCAGCACATTCTTACCATGGCTGAGCTTGCAAAACAGATAAGCCTTGCTGTAGCCCATTACGGAACGTCTTCCCTCGCGAAATAAGAGCTTGAGTTGTTTAATATTAGGGTTACATCAAGGCTATTAAAAGGGCCAGTTTTAGAGGATGGAGAAAAGCCTAGCCTTGGACTGTATTATTTCAATGCATTCACAATCCGGTATAGTCTAGGCATAGGACTAGGCATAATCCCCATGTGGGACACCAGCCCAAAACCTATTTAGAGAAGATTTACGGTCAAACGTATCATCGCTGTCCAAAAACAAGTATATCCAACATAGTCACTTTACAGGAGAGGGCAAAAAAACACTCTTACCTTTTAACGTAAGTCAATGTAAAGAGATTTTATTCCAAGTGATTTTAGAGCATTTCTATTAGTCCATTCATCATAAAATTTTCACACAATGTAAAGGACAGCTGGTGCGTTGAAATGATGTAGAAAAATTAATCACCGAAAATGGAGATACACTGTTTTCTTCGGGCCCTGCGATGGACTGGCGACCTGCCCAGGGTGTATCCTGCCTTCCGCCCATTGACCGCTGGGATAGGCTCCAGCACCCCACCGCGACCCAGAAGGATAAGCGGTTTAGATGATGTATGTATGTATGTTTTCTTCGGACAGCGATGATATGTGAACAACCCTTCTAATTCAACTATTTCAACCCATCCACTGCTAACAACTGCATAAAATCAAGCAGTCCTGTTGAAGAACTAAGAGCTCTGTGACTTTCAATGTGAGACCGCCACAGGCTGGCACCTTTCCAGCAAGTAAGTTCATCAAATTTCTGCCCTGCGGTCACTGTAAGCCTTGCAACTTTGAAGCTACTTGGAAGTCAAGGAGCAACAGCAGCTCCTCAGTGAAGTGGTAGGCCAAATCATCTGGCCTCTGTTGCAACACTAGCTACGAAGATCCAGACTGCCTCTGGCAGCAACATCAGCAAGAACTGTTCACTGGGAGCTTCAAGGAATGGGCTTCTATGATCAAGCAGCTGTGGAAAGACCTAAGATCACTATGTGCAATGCCAAGCGTCGACTGGAGTGGTGTAAAGCTGCCGCCACTGGACTCTGGAGCAGTGGAAACACATTCGCTGGAGTGATGAATCAGCTTCTCTATCTGGCAGTTTGATGGATGAATCTGGGTTTGGTGGAGGCCAAAAGAACGGTGGAGGAGGGATACTGAGCTGGGCCTGTTTTTCAGGGTTTGGGCTCCTTAGTTCCACTGAATGGAAATGTTCCCACAGACATGCAGATAAATCTTGTGGAAAGGCTTTATAGAAGAGTTGAGGCTATTAAAGCCGCAAACTCCATGTCATTATCCAACAAGCTCATATAGATGTGATCGTCAGGTGTCCACATACTTTTGGCCATACAGTGAAGCGTAGAATGTTTCGGTTGCGGCTCATTTTTTGAAATGCTTAGTGCAGCTTTCTGGCCCTTTGCTGACCCTGCATTGAACATCTCAGCCTCCAGTGCACCGTCACAGTGGGATCTATTACTCTGCATCTGACAGCTGGACCTGCTTTGGTAGTTCTGTTTTTTTCTGGGCTTTGTAGGAGGACGACTTGAAATTCCTGTCCTACAAGACGATGGCTGTTATCATATGCCAAACGCTGAGCTTCTCCGTCTCTGACCTTTATCCCAGTGCTTCGAATCTGCCTGGCATCGCCTTCTGCCTACACATGCTGGCGGTGAACGGTGCCATTGTATCATCTGGTTTGCATGAAAGCTCAGTCCCAGGAGGAACCGGCTGATAGGTTTATGTGATATGTAAACAAAATCAAATGAAACGCTGCACGTCGTAAAACTCGGCTGTGCGTCTCATAAACGGGTGGCGTAACATGCAGGCTTTATGATGTACTGTGGTTGACATATTGAGATTTAATATGATGGTGCGGCAGACAGACGGAGCTGAGAGCAGATCTTTCTCAGCCAAAGGCTGCTGCTCGATTGCGTTTCAGTGAATTATATGGAGCGTGTAATACTCATGAGTAAGCCAAACAAACGAGACTCCCAGCGGTTCACATAACTGCTCTTTCTTCTGTATTACATGCATTGCCTGTCAAAAGTTTGGGGACAACTTGCTGCCTTATGAGACTTTCTGAGTATGAGAAGTAGAATTTATTCTTACTTCTCAGTTAAGAACGAAGAAATACCTGCAAAGGTTTTAACATCAAACAGCTATTTCCTGATACTTTAGGTGTATTTTGCATCATACATCATATATCACTTACTAAAAACTCCAGCAGCACTGCTGTGTCTGATCCACTCAGACCAGCGCAACACACACTAACACACCACCACCACGTCAGTGTTACTGCAGTGCTGAGAATGATCCGCCACCCAAATAGTACCTGCTCTGTGAGGGTCCATGGCGGTCCTGACCACTGAAGAACAGGGTAAAAGGGGGCTAACAAAGTATCAGAGAAACAGATGGACTACAGTCTGTAACTGTAGAACTACAAAGTGCACCTATATAGTAAGTGGAGCTGATAAAATGGACAATGAGCGCAGAAACAAGGAGGTGGTCACAATGTTATGCCTGATCGGTGTGTATATTCAATTCACTTTTCCTGCATAAAATGCTCCTTGATTTATTTTTTCTGACCTGATTATTAAATTCAAAAACATTTAAAAAAAAATATAATGTGTGCATGGGTCCTTCTAGAGTATGTTGCCTTGAGGCAACATTGTGCAACAATAGGAAGAAATGATATAGAGCTGTGTTCCCTAAAGTGGAAAGACCTGATTGTTACTGTCTAAATCCATTAGTGGGTCTCATAACGAATGTTGCTTCTGGACAACAAACATATTTCTGCAAATTCTCATAACAAAAAAAAAAAAAAAAAAACAACATACTGAATGTTTAAAAGAGAGGGTTAAATGTGCCCATTAAGAGACAATGTGACACAGTACATGCTTTTTACTGACTTACTCAAACTCCTCCCTTTATTGTTAACCCTATCGTTGTCTTTAAGTATGTATAATGTTATTGTAAAGTGAGGAAAATGAGTTTGTCGCTCTGAGGCAACATCGTGCAAAAGAGGGTTAAATAACAATCTTGTGGTCTTCTTTTCCAAACTGTCAAAGTCTTTTGGCCCAAACGAGGTTTAAACAGCTGAAAAGTTTGAACCTGTGCTGACAGTCACAAGGGAATAAAATCAGTGGGACATCAAAAGATTTCCAATGTATTTTATCAGCTGTTCTTTCAGTTTTGCGAAGAAAAACAGCAAAATCTAAACGTCTTTGTATTGAAAAACTTTTTGAAAAGCTAGCTGTCCCCAAACTTTTGCTGGGTAGCGTATGCTGATGAAAACAAATATATTGCCTTTGTCGGAAGAAAACCTCCAAAATGGTAACTTTACAGAAGAAGGAAAAAACCTACTTTACTTTTAATGTAAGTCAATGGAACCAGAATTTTTTCCAAGTCATTTTGGATCATTTCTTTTGGTCCTTTCATCATGAAATTTATACACAATGTAAAGGGCAGCAGGCATTTTCAAACGATGTCAAAAACCGAAAAACGACAAAAATGGAGATACAATGTTTTCTCCCGACAGCAGTGATATACAGTACACTGGTGAAAACACTGTACCTCTGTTAAAGAGCTATTTTTTTAGGAATACTGCTGAACTCACATTAATGGACAGCTGATTCATCCTTTTTGTAATCACTCTGACTTAACAGGCTTTCCGCTTTCCTTCCCCTTTAAAACCCTCACTTACCTTTCTGATGAGTGTGCTCTTGGCTGTGTTTCCCTTCCACTCCCTCTCACTGTAGGCCAGTATGTCAATAGCTGCTGCTAAACTACATGACTCCACTCCAGGAACTGAGACAAAGGAAAAACACAAGTTAATGTCACTGAACTGCTCTTTATTGACCGTGATGTCCACTGCTACCCGCACTACCTCGTCTGCAGCCTAGGCTTTGGAACGCAGCTAGTATAAATAAAACTTCTAAATATTGCTAAATTTAATTTTTAAGCCTAGAAATTTACACTGGCCGATATTATTGGACATCAAAACTGCTTAAAATTTATATTTGTATCAGTGCCAGTATTTTTGTATCAGGCCGTCCAGCTTTCTGCTTTAGAGGAGGCACAAAATGATGTAAACAAAAGAAAGGTTCATACTTGTGAGCTCCAGCAGAGGCTTCGATTGCTTTTCTTGGGCTGGCTCTTTTTCGATCTCTTCAGCCCCCCGGTAGAGGTCTTCACTTTTGTGAGAGAGACAGAGAAGCACAAAACACAGTTCTCTTTACAGACAGACTGAGGAGACGCACAAGCCTAGGATACTAGGAACTAGAAGTCTCCAGTCTGATGATTCATTTTCAGTTCTCTAGAAAACGATTCAGTGCATCATGAAATCTCCACCTTTGATTTGATTCAATTATTGTGGTACAATTCAGAATTATTAAAAAAAATAAGACTAGAAACATAAATGTGAACAGAATAACTATTTACACAATAGTGCTGTGCAGACAGTACAATATACAGCGATCAGGCATAACATTATGATTCTTTATGTTTCTACGCTCATTGTCCATTTTATCAGCTCCACTTACTATATAGGTACACTTTGTAGTTCTACAGTTACAGACTGTAGTCCATCTGTTTCTCTGATACTTTGTTAGCCCCGTTTTACCCTGTTCTTCAGTGGTCAGGACCCCCATGGACCCTCATCGAGCAGGTACTATTTGGGTGGTGGATCATTCTCAGCACTGCAGTAACACTGACGTGGTGGTGGTGTGTTAGTGTGTGTTGTGCTGGTCTGAGTGGATCAGACACAGCAGTGCTGCTCGAGTTTTTAAACACTCTGTCCACTCACTGTCCACTCTATTAGACACTCCTACCTTGTCAGTCCACCTTGTAGATGTAAAGTCAGAGACGATAGCTCATCTGCTGCTGCACAGTTTGCGTTGGTCATCCTCTAGTCCTTCATCAGTGGTCACAGGACGCTGCCCACAGGACGCTGTTGGCTGGATATTTTTGATTGGTGGACTGTTCTCAGTCCATCAGCGACACTGAGGTGTTTAAAAGCTCCAGCAGCACTGCTGTGTCTGATCCACTCAGACCAGCACAACACACACTAAAACACCACCACAATTGTCAGTGTCACTGCAGTGCTGAGAATGATCCACCACCCAAATCGTACCTGCTCTGTGAGGGTCCATGGGGGTCCTGACCACTGAAGAACAGGGTAAAAGGGGGCTAACAAAGTATGCAGAGAAACAGATGGACTACAGTCTGTAACTGTAGAACTACAAAGTGCACCTATATAGTAAGTGGAGCTGATAAAATGGACAATGAGCGGAGAAACAAGGAGGTGGTCACAATGTTATGCCTGATCGGTGTGTAACCATGCAATAAGCCAGGGGTGCCCAACACGTCAGTGCATGTCGGCAGATCGTGCCTATCAGCCTATCAACTTTCAACACTTTTTTGCTCCTGGCAGTTGGCAGGTCAATGTGATTGAGTGATGTAAAATGTGGCCACTGTCTCTTTATTAACAGCTTGTTACCACAGCTACACCACAGCCCACCTAAAGCACTGCTGTGAGTTTGCCTCTCTGGCGATCTAGAACGTTTTCATTTATCGGGAGCCAGTTTGTGTAGCGCTATTTTGGTGTTTTTCTTTTATAACCTACAAGGGGAACTTCCTAAGGGGATCGCCGAGAGGCATTTTCGAACTATGCACAGAAACGATGACAAATTCCCAGTTAAAAGTGAAGAAAAAAGTGGTCCAGACTACACAAACCTGGCTGACACCACTGAGTGCAAATCATCAGAATAAGGTTAATGTGATTTCAGTCGTTTGCCCTGTAATGCTGAATATCAATATAGGCAGTGAAGTGCATTAAAAAAGTTTTAAAGCTTTTATGAAAGGATGAGGCCAGCCTTTTTTTTCATTAAAGGTAGATCATGATGACCTGTGCACTGGAAAAAGTACATCTCAAGCGACAAAAGTATGGGCACCCCTGCAACAAGCCTTTTATTTTTCATTTTTACCTTTAAAAAATTGCCTACAAGTTTTATTTTGGCCCAAAAAACGAGTACATACTTTACTGAATATTACTGTAGTCGAATATAACATTCTGAAATCTATGTACTGAATCACCACCGTCAGACTGATACTTTTGTGGTGCATCTATCCATTTTTACACCGTAAATAGGATCTGAAAAATACCACTTCCTTTAGTGTGTCATGCTACCCAATCTGGACTAGAGTTTACAGTCCACAGGAATGAAGAACAGGTACTTACTCCTCCTGCTGCTTCTCCTCTGCGATGCTTTCACTCACAGGTATCAGCGCGACCTCCACAGCATGGCTACTGCTCACAATGATCTCTCCCTTCTGGACCTTGTGGCTTTCAGTATCTTCTTTTTCTGCCTGGACAGCGTTGGTTGTTCCTTCCCTCTCGCTCTCAATCTCCTTCTCGCTCGGCCGGTGCTCTGGCTCTTCCTCCTCTGGTATGTGGGCATCCAATGGGAGAGCATCACTTGGTCCAGTGGGCTCAATGTTCTCTACCTGAGCAGCAACACTGCAAAAGGAAAAGAAGTTTGGGTGCTACTAACAGCTAGTCCTTCCCCAGATAGTCCTTCCCCTACTCGACTTTTAATGTAAGTCAATGGAACCAGAATTTTTTTCCAGTCATTTCTCAGTCGTTTCTTTTGGTCCATTCATCATGAAATTAACAGACAATGTAAAGGGAAACACGCATTTTCAAATTATGCCAAAAACCGAAAAACGACAAAAATGGAGATATGAGGTTTTGTTCTGACAGCAGCGATATGCTTTTATATAGTAATATACATCTTTATAGTATATATATATACAGGGAGATTCACTCGAAAGAGGCCCCAAATATTCTGTTGTAACTCCTGTTAGGATGAAGCAATCAGAACCAAAAAAATACACGTATGTGTAATCGACTGCATTACATGCAATGCTGGAAGTGATCTCCATTTCTGCCAGACACAATAAGGGATACAGGGGTATGCACCCGGAAGTTGCAAATGGAGGTTAAACGTCGCGTCGGCTACCTTATCACTCCGACACAGGGGCACCCCAAGCTTGTTCGAAGCTCCATATACTGAGGAGCACATTGCATGCTGTTGCGTTCAGATTGCTTCGTCTAGCAAGAGTTATTACAGAATATGCAGGGCCTCTTTCAAGTGAATCTCCCTGTGTGTGTATATATATATACATATATATATATATATATATATACATATATACATATATATATATATACATATATACATATATATATATATATACATACATATGTGTATATATATATATATATATATAAATTAATTAATAAATTAATATATATATATATTTATTGTGATAAATAGATAAATAATGTCACAATAAAATGTGCTTTTCTGAAAATATCTTGTATATTGTCAGTACTTACAGAACATTGACCAGCTGCCTGTTTCATTATAAAGAGAGCAAAATTAAAATCGCCGAGTTTATGATGGTATTTTTTAAAATGTAGCACTACTGGTCCTTTGGCCTTGAACCAACCAAACAAATGTCTGAAAAAAAACCTTTCGTGACATATTGTGTACTGTGAAAACTTCTTAAAGTATCATGATATTATATTTCTGCCATATCGCCCACCTCTACAGTGAAAACACCCTTTATTCCTCACGGCAGTGCACTTTTGCTTTCACTCACTCTGCTTTTTTCTGTAAATGCTACCAAAATCTTTCCTGATAAGTCAATGACTTTGAACCTCAACACAACACAAAAGACGTTTGGCAGCTTCAAACAGCTAGTCCTTCCCTTGTTTATTACTCAAAGGGGACTGCCAAGCTAATTCAGTCAGGCAGAATGGAAAATTTGAAACATGAGTAAATGTGGAAGTTTACATTCGTGCATATGGCTACGTTCATCCTAGTGAGTGATTTTCCCTCACATATGGTAAAACAGGGCTGGGCAATATGATAATATATGTCTTTATTGTGATAAACAGTGTCACAATACAATATGCTTTTCTGAAGATATCTTGTATATCGTCAGCACTTGCCTGTTTCATCATAAAGAGAGCAAAATTAGTCTGTTTAATTGGATTTAGTGCAACACAGTAAACCAAATACTAAATAAAACCCTCTGTTTTGATAGTATTTTCTTTTTAATGTGGCACTACTGGATATTTTTCCGTGTTCCAACTGATCAAATGTCTGAAAGAAATAAATATCGTGACATATTGTGTATCGTGAAAACTTCTTGAAGGATCGTGATATTATATTTCTTATTATATATTATATATCACCCACCTCTACAGGGAAAACACTCTTAATTCCTCACGGCAATGCACGTTTGCTTTCACTCACTCTGCTGTTTTCTGTAAATGCTTTTTTTCCGACGAGTCAATGGCTTCGAATCTCAACACAACTTCAAGCTACAATAATCATTCAGCGACAATAAGTGGTGACAATATCACTTGTAAAAAACAAACGTTATTTGCTCTGGAAAAGCATTTTCTAACAGGTTTGTTTACACCATCAGTGTTGGTAAGTGAGGAAACCAAGCCTGGACATACACCAGTTATATATATCCTGCCAGACAACCCAACTGTCCTTTAACTACTGGTTTAAAAGGTGATCGGTGAAGTCATAAGCACATGGCTGCTAATTAATGCATCATCACATGAGCCACACCTGACTTTGTGCGTCCCTATAAAAACATTTCACACATTCACCTGTGACGTCAGAAGCCTGTTCTGAACTCTGGGCTATAATTAATGGCTTCCAAGTCAATAGACACAGCCCACTTATGCACTCAGTCCACATCCGTCTAGTGATCCTAAGGTAAAAACATGTGGGTGGCAGCGCTATAATTACCCGCCCTCCTTAACGTCACAGCACATTTTGAAGATGTTTTGGTCTTTGGTTCCATCTGTTGGTGGAAGTGCGAACAGCAGGAGGTACCCACCCATGAGCCTCTGTGGAGTCAGACTTCTCGAGAGGAGTGGCGGAGTCTAGACCGTTCAGAAGAGACTCTTCTTCCTGTTCAGTAGACTCGGCAATGTTCTCCTGGTCTGCTGCAGCATCTCTGGCCTGAACCACCTCCTCTGCAGTGCTAACATGAGAGAGGAAACGAGATTATAATGGATTCCATCTAAACAGCTTTACCTAAGTTCTACAAAATAAAGGAAGTTATAACTAGAGCTGCACTAATCATGAAGTGTTACGGCCAATTTGGAGTTACTTACAGCCAAACTGGCTCTTTTATATATACACAGATCAGGCATAACATTATGACCACCTCCTTGTTTCTACGCTCATTGTCCATTTTATCAGCTCCACTTACTATATAGGTGCACTTTGTAGTTCTACAGTTACAGACTGTAGTCCATCTGTTTCTCTGCATACTTTGTTAGCCCCCTTTTACCCTGTTCTTCAGTGGTCAGAACCCCCATGGACCCTCACAGAGCACGGTATATCAGTTATATACACATATACTGTGGGTCAGAAAATAATAAGAAACCTGAAAAGCTACCTTCTGCTTTGTGCAATAATGCCGGTTTTAGTCACCTGGTGCAGTTCAAGACCCAGTCCAATTTTTTATTTTTAACCCCTACCCCTTGTTTTTGAGTGTTGCCTCTTGGAACTGAGTTACAGGGTAGTGGTTGAAATCTTCCCTCTGAAATGGGACCCTCAAATAAAAAGAGCATCACTTCATTAACAGCTACTAGTGCTGCTCTGTAGGCGACCCTGCCAGTCTGCAGTGACAGCAGAGGAGGGTAAAGTTCAGCTCCTCACTGCTGGGCTTCAGTTACATTTAGGGCATCATATGACTTCAAAGAGGGGGGCAATTATTTATTATCACCCACCCCTAATTCTTCAGTGATATGAAGCTGAAGAAGATATTCGCCAGCTTCTTGTTCAATTTTTCTGTTCCACCTTAAATGGAGCAGCAGTTACATTCTGGCGCTTCAGGCGGACTATTTAAGGTGGAACGGGAAAGTTAGCTAGCTAGCTACTGATACATCAGCATACTATTACTGATTTCTTATGCTTGTTATGAAGAAAATGACCATAATAAATCATTTTTCCTCATAACTCTCTGTTTGGAGTCTCTGAAAAACCTCCGTTTGGAGGGTCATGTAGCCCCAACACTTCACCCTCCCCCTCTATCTCAACAAGAATCGGGACACCCTACCCCTAGACGTAGCACGCAAACTGAGGGCTAAGGGCTAAGTGGTAGGGGCGAGGGCCCATGTGTCTTTCGTACTGCTCTGACTGTGAGTTAGGATGCTCTCAAGTGCATTTATTTCCAAGAATAAACAACAGCATGCTGGCTAGTGAGCTGTCCGTCCAGAGTAGAAGGAAATGTATTAAAACTGCTCCAGTATTGTATTAAAACTGCACATGTTCAGGTACAAAGCGGTTTCTAAGCAGCTCTAAAAAACACATGATCATATAGAACAGAGGTCACTAATAAGCAGACCGTGGTCCGAGTCCGGACCCAGACGCTGTCCAGTGCGGACCCGGACCTATAACCGATAAACTATAGAGAATTACTTAATTTGGACGGGGTGGTCCTATTTTAATCGGCATAACTTTCCTAGCATTTACGGTACCGGTTTAGCGGCCCAGGAGACTCACAGACCAATCACATGCGTTGTAAAAATCACACGTGACGCTACTCAGCCAATCAGATCTGCGCATAACAATGAGCACTGAGACTCCAGTGAGTGTCACACACACAGTGGAGGGACGAGGCGAGACACAGCAGTCGGAGAAGAAAGTGAGTCAGAGGTCAGAAGTTATTTTACATGACAGCTCTAAAAAGAGAAAACTGACAATAAATGTTGAAATAATGTTGCAATAATAATAGCACTAATAATAATTTAATATGTTTTATTTTATTATTAAAGTGAAATATCTTAGCCTTCCTTCTTTTCCTTGTCAAAAGTAAGCATACAGGAACTGAAATGTTTAAATAATTATCATTAAATATTTTTTGCATGTTCAAAATTGTAATGTTCATTTAATGTTAAATAAAAAGTTGCATTTTATTTATTTATTTACTTATTTATTTAACACGCAACGCTTCAGCTTGTCACATGTTTCCCAGGCTACTGGGGATTTTTAAAGGGAAGTTGTTAACCACATACAGCTGTTTGGGGGCATTTTGTTATGTAAATGAGCCGGGCACGAGTAGAGCAGCATAAGATGTATCATCATACATTACGCACAGCTGTGCGCACACACGGGTGATAAATGCCTACTTTTTAGTGCGTATTTGGCAGTTCTTGTGCACACGCATAGAACATGTTCTCCGCATGCTTGGGATAAATTAGATGCTAGATCTACTACACGGAACTGCATTAAATCAGATTGTGACTGAATTTGTCAATGCAACAGCTAATACGACGATGTTATTAATGTACACTGATCAGGCGTAACATTGTGACCACCTCCTTGTTTCTACGCTCATTGTCCATTTTATCAGCTCCACTTACTATATAGGTGCACTTTGTAGTTCTACAGTTACAGACTGTAGTCCATCTGTTTCTCTGCATACTTTGTTAGCCCCCTTTTACCCTGTTCTTCAGTGGTCAGGACCCCCATGGACCCTCACAGAGCAGGTACTATTTGGGTGGTGGATCATTCTCAGCACTGCAGTAACACTGATGTGGTGGTTGTGTGTTAGTGTGTGTTGTGCTGTTCTGAGTGGATCAGACCCAGCAGTGCTGCTGGAGTTTTTCTCCTCCTACATGACCTGCTGTTAGTGTCTGTGCGTGTCTGGGTGTGTGTATGTGTTTGTATATGTGTGTGTGTGTGTGTGTGTGTGTGTGTGTGTGTGTGTGTCTGTGTGTGAGGGTGGACAACATGGACAGGCTGCTGACTGGCTACAGCTGCTAATGGAGAACCCTACACTGGACACTTGTGATATTTTAAACATCTGGTATTTTTACATAAATTGTTGTGGCTGTATTGATTGAAGAAAACAATGTGGTGGGTCCAGCAGACCACTGAGTAACGCACACATCAACACCACACAAGCGTTAATAAAAATAAATATAAATTAATAAAATAAAAAATAATAAAAATAAAAATAATTCCACTAAAAATAAAAATCATTTCACTAAAGAAACAGCTTTATATCCAGTGTACCATATAATGCTGGATATTATCAGTGCATGTCTAGAATCCACCATTCCAAAAATTAATAGATTACAATTAATTAATAATATTCTGTAAATCATGCACTCATTTCAGGGCCAAAATAAAATTCTAAGGCTAATTTTAAACTAAATAAATACATAAAGATTTACTCTAAACTAAACTGAACTAAAATATCAAACTTTGAAATTTCACTACAAAATGAATAATTTCCCAAAGAATCATAATCAAACTGAACTCTTGAAAGGTCAAAGATTTAGGCCCAATCCCATTTCACCCCTCGCCCCTACCACTTAGCCCTTAGCCCTCCGTTCTGTGTGTTCACGTCTAGGGGTAGGGTGTCCTGATTCTTGTTGAGATAGAGGGGTGGAGCGAAGTGTTGGGGCTACATGACCCTCCAAACGGAGGTTTTTCAGAGACTCCAAACAGAGAGTTATGAGAAAAAAAGAAAAACCGGCAAGATGGCTGAACAAGAGACCAAAGACACCCACAAATGTGAGAATTTTCTCTGTTAAAAATTACGATAACCATTGTATCATCTTAGTTTAATGTTGTTTCAGTGTATTATGGTCCTTTTCTTCATAACAAGCACAAAAAAATGCTAATAGTGTGCTTGTCTCAGTAGCTAGTGAGCTAAATTTCCCATTCCACCTTAAATAGTCCAGCAGTTCTGATGCCTGAAGCGCCAGAATGTAACTGCTGCTCCATTTAAGGTGGAACGGGAAATCAGAAGCTGGCGAATATCTGACTTCAGCTTCATATCACTGAAGAATTAGGGGTGGGTGATAATAAATAATTGCCCCCTCTTTGAAGATCATATGATGCCCTAAATGTAACTAAAGCCCAGCAGTGAGGAGCTGAACTTTACCCTCCTCTGCTGTCACTGCAGACTGGCAGGGTCGCCTACAGAGCAGCACTAGTAGCTGTTGAAGTGATGCTCTTTTTATTTGAGGGTCCCATTTCAGAGGGAAGATTTCAACCACTACCCTGTAACTCAGTTCCAAGGGGCAACGAGACACTCGAAAACAAGGGGTAGGGGTAAAAAATAAGAAATGGGACTGGGCCTGACTCTCTTATATACTCACCTGGCGGAGGTCTCAGGCAGCTGTGCTTCATCCTCAACGTGTGAAGATTCCTCACTTGTTTTCTGGAGGAGCTCTGTCTGTTGGGGCGTCTCTGATGCAGCATCCACAATAACAGAGTTTTCATCTTTCAGATCTTCCACCTGCCCGTTTTCCAAGCTGTGAGGAGTGAGTTCATCAGTAATTTCCACAGCTGGAGAGGCCGCTATCTCAGAAGGTTCCTGAGTTTCAGAGGGCAGTTCACTTCCTTTACTTCAGCCAAACTGGATACAACATCCTCTTCGTGTTTGTCCTCCACTTTATCTGCTGCTTCTCCAACAGGTTCTTCAGCGATCACCTCAGCTGATGCAGATTTTTCAACCACTATAAGCTCACCTGAGGGCTCTGGTGGACAAGTCTGAGGTTCTTCTCTGCTCTCTTCCATCACTGAGGTATCTGCCGTTACGTCAGTAGTAGTCAGCTGTTCTACTTCCTGTGTGTCAGCTGTGGAGTCCTGCTTGGTTCGAGTATCGTCCTTCTCGGCTAAAACATCTACAGAGGTTTCTGGTTTCTCCTCTATGTCCATTTCACCAGCCTTCTCCACGTCAGCCACGGCCTCCTTTGCGTCCACCTCAGCTGCCTCTTTCTTTATGTCCACCTCAGTAGCCGCCTCCTTTGCGTCCACCACAGCGGCCTCCTCCTCTACATCCACTTCAGCTGCTTTGTTCTCTGCATCTACTTTAGCTGCCTCATTTTCTATGTCCACTTCAGCATCGTCCTTCCTTATGTCCACTTCAGCTGCCTCCTGCTTTGTGCCCACCTCAGAAGCCTGCAGAGGTGCCTCCTCAGCCTCTGCAGGGCGTTCCTGGACTTCCAGCGCAGCCCCTGCTGCTTCATCCACCTTTACTATCTCTATAGGTGCTTTGACCGTGTCTTCAGCAGCAGTCTGGATCTCTTCTGTCTCAGCGCTGTTCTTTGTTTCAGCTACTTCTATGGCTGTCACCACTGGTTCTGTTGACACTTCGGGTGAGGAACTTTGGCTCGCTTGTGCGGCACGAGAGATATCAGTGTGCAGTGTGTTTATAACAGCGTTATACGAACTTTGTACCTCTACAGGTCTGTTAATTGCATTCGGCTGACTGGTGACCACCTCTTTGTCCAGTCCTGGGTGCTTTGTCTTCATGTTTTTCTGCGGAGTAGAAAGTAACAGTGATTTTTAAAATTAGACAACTCAAACTACTGTGGGATCAGTCCCACAGTTACAGTGTAAAACACCAAAAATGTTTGTTTGGTACTAAAATTGTTGAACATCTAGTTTTAAAAGAGGAACTTCATTATAGAAATATAATAAAATATGGACTAAATATAAGTGCAAAGGTTTGGTCAAACTGTAAAGTGTAAATAAGTTAACAGATCATCTAAAGGGAACATAAATATGGCATTTTCTGCTAATTTTAGTACACAATTTCTGTTTGTTTGCTGAATTAACATATAAAACATGTTTTAATGTTTCTACAGGCCATATTTTATGCTTTATTTTTCAGCTATTTCCTTCACACAGTGGCCTTTGGCGTCCAAATACAATCACTCCTTTTTGCCAAGCATTAACATCTGCTTTGTGACCCACTTTCCACATATCGAACGAGACATTCACTGCACTGTACCACCTTTTCTCAATCTATGAATCCCGTCACAAACCCCGCAGGTATTTATAGCCTGATCATCCTTGTGCAACGCCTGAAGTTACTACCACCTTAAACACATAAGGTGACTGATTTTTTGTCCGGGGAGCTTACGTTAAATTCAGCAAATAAACAGTGATTGCACACAGTTTTCTGTAGAGGATGTGTTAACTTACTTTCACTTCAACAAAAATCAACAAATTGGGGGTTTCCCAAACTTTTGCACATGAATGTATCTGAGGACTGTCTGGGCGTGGTCCTAACACTCTGATGAGCAAGCGTGATTGACAGCCCTCAGTCCAACACTCCCATCCTGTGTCACCGCTGAAGCAGAACCAAACAAAACAATACATGTGGGACGAACGTGAAACGGGCTGTATGTATGCAGGTGGTATTGTAGACCATCCCCACTGCGAATGGCTAAAATGTAACAGAGTTTAAATATTCCTTTACTCACTTTAGTAGAAGTAAAAACAATACAATCTGAAAATACTCAGGAGAGTAAAAATTAATCAATATTTCAGTGAAGTACATGTACTTGAGTAAATGTAACTAGTTACTAGTCATTAGCATGACATGAAAGGCAGTTTTAGTCAGTGGCCTAAATGCATTTCATCGCCCAGCCACCCATTTTTTGGAGGTGTGGCAAAACATACTGTTTCAAAAATAATAAAAATATGCAGCTGGCTGAGTGACGAAATACAATTTGACCAGTAAGCTCAGCCAATCAGATTTTAGAACAGGGACAGTTTTATTGATGTTCTAATGGGTCAACTTCCTGATTTTAGGTTTGCCGATTAACAATTAATTACCGAGTAATGACGATTTATTGTTCAAAACAACTTGCAAAAAATTTACATACTTAATAAGAATTTAAATCAGTTATATTTATTATTGTATTTTGATGAAATGTTGTTATTATAAGTTATCAGATTATTTGAATACCATAAATAAATAGACGGTAATTCCATAAATAACTAAATAAATAAATAAATGAATATAACAAAAAGTAAAGAAACATATGCATTTATTTATTTCTGCTTTTATGAATTCATACTGTTTTTTTTTCTTTTTCTGCGATAGGCTGGACAGTCTAGGTCAGTAAACTTCAAGGTTCAGAGTGTCTCTTTGATCCCTGACGTGTCCACATCAGTCATGAAAAGAAACAAGATGGGGAAGAGAGAGAAAAGAAAATGCTGTCCAGTTATTTGATATGCTGCAGCGGAGGATAATGATGATGATGGAGTGACTCAGGAGCTCTGGGTTACTTCCTGTAGTGCAGTAAGTGAATCAAGGGGCTTAATGCCAAGCACAATAAGCCAAAATGTTCTTTTGCTTTTCAACTTTGCTTAAACATTGAAATAGAAATGGACATAAATATGCAAATAAAATTTTTTTAGCCAAAAATTATGGGATGTAAATTTTGGCAAACTGTTTTGAGCGATACACAGTATGTTTTGCCCCACCCTGCATCACAGCCACGATGGGTTTAAAAAACCCTGCTTCTTTTGCTGCTTAGTTTCATTTTGTTTCTTTAGTCCTTAAATGAAAACGTGAAAAATAGTAATAAGAATGACTTTTTCCATAATATGGATCCTTTAAGAAAGGATACTACCAAACAACAGCTTGAAAAGAGAGAGAAAACCATGAAACTCGAGCAGATCTGTCAGCTCACCTCTCCTCTGCCACTTCTTCTGGGCTAAGTCCATCTCCCTCTGCCTTCGTCGAGGTCTTGGACTCCGACGAGCTCAGCAGCCCCTTCGTCTCATCCGCCGTTTGGTTGCATGGATTCGGTGGACAGCAGAGGTTCCCCATACTGGCGGCTTTACAGTCCCTCTCTCCCAGTCCACAGTCAACAGATAGAGGTCACTGCACATCCACTTACAATCTACACTGTACAGTATCCAGTCACAAAGAGACACAGACGCCCTCTTCGGGGAAACCAACATCCCCAGCCATGTGATAATATTCCGTCAGATACACTGTGACGTGTCCCACACTTACGCAGATGACCGCCGTCCATACACCAAGCTCATCTGTGAGATTGCAGTCCGATTACGGCTGATCATTGGTGGACGCCAGTGAGGATGTCAGGACATAAATTCAAACCTGTGAACGACAAACAGCAAAATGAAACCAACACATCAGCCGCAGGAGCCGTGAGATAACACAAGAACGTTACCACACTGGTTCACCGATGTTTCAAATGTTTTCAGCACATTTTTTATGAATTATGAAAGCAGTAAGATGCAAATAAAGTCATTCATTATGGTAACTTAAAATGAAACACAGGCCTAAATGACACAAATGAAGAACCTACACTTTATCCTGCAGTTCTCACTGAGTCATTGAGCTGCAGATGCCATGAGATAAAACAAGAACCTTACCACACAGGTTCATCTGCACATACACAGATCAGGCATAACATTATGACCCCCTCCTTGTTTCTACGCTCATTGTCCATTTTATCAGCTCCACTTACTATATAGGTGCACTTTGTAGTTCTACAGTTACAGACTGTAGTCCATCTGTTTCTCTGCATACTTTGTTAGCCCCCTTTTACCCTGTTCTTCAGTGGTCAGGACCCCCATGGACCCTCACAGAGCAGGTACTATTTGGGTGGTGGATCATTCTCAGCACTGCAGTAACACTGACATGGTGGTGGTGTGTTAGTGTGTGCTGCGCTGGTCTGAGTGGATCAGACACAGCAGTGCTGCTGGAGTTTTTAAACACCTCAGTGTCACTGCTGGACTGAGAATAGTCCACCAACCAAAAATATCCAGCCAACAGCGTCCTGTGACCACTGATGAAGGACTAGAGGATGACCAACGCAAACTGTGCAGCAGCAGATGAGCTATCGTCTCTGACTTTACATCTACAAGGTGGACTGACAAGGTAGGAGTGTCTAATACAGTGGACAGTGAGTGGACACAGTGTTTAAAAACTCCAGCAGCGCTGCTGTGTCTAATCCACTCGTACCAGCACAACACACACTAACACACCACCACCACGTCAGTGTTACTGCAGTGCTGAGAATGATCCACCACCCAAATAGTACCTGCTCTGTGAGGGTCCATGGGGGTCCTGACCACTGAAGAACAGGGTAAAAGGGGGCTAACAAAGTATCAGAGAAACAGATGGACTACAGTCTGTAACTGTAGAACTACAAAGTGCACCTATATAGTAAGTGGAGCTGATAAAATGGACAATGAGCGTAGAAACAAGGAGGTGGTCATAATGTTATGCCTGATCGGTGTATATGATGAGTAAAAAGCAGGACTGAGTGATGTTTCAAATATTTTTCAGTACACTGCACCAATTTTTATGCATTATTAAAACATTAAGATGCTATCAAAGTCATTCACTATGGTCAGAGTCACCCAGTGCTCAAAAAGAAACAAGGGCCTAAATGATGCAAAAGAAGAACCTACACTTTCACCTGCAGTTCTCATAGCTTTTAATGCCCGTCAGGCTGAATCAACAAGTCACTTGACCTGCAGGAGCCGTGAGATAACACAAAAACGTTACCACACTGGTTTTAGAAAACATGCAAGCAGGGCTTTACAGTACATTCCACTGTTATTGCACGGTTTTTGTAATGCACTGTTTACCTAAAAAGAGTTTGCAGCACAAAGCAGCAGCAAGAACACATCATCTCTGCATTAGCAGCACTTCACTGGCTTCCCGTTCAATACAAAGTAGGTTTTAAAGCACTTTTACTTGTTTTAAGGCCATTAACGGGCTGCATATCAGATGATATAACTGAATATTCTCCACAGCACCGTCTAAGCCAGGGGTCGGCAACAAACGCGGCTCTTTTCACTGCCCTGTTGTGGCTCCACAGCAGAATCAAAATAAAATAATCCTCCTTTACAGTAAAATAAAGCTCTGCTGATCGTTCAACACAGTTTAACAGTAAATGGTCTTAAACTCTGGAGTTAATGTAGAACTGCTAATTCACCCTTTAACCCGAAACGAAACAACAAAAAGAGCGATTTAAGATGAACATGGATAATTTAGAGATGAATGGACTTATTTGCGTTTATAATCACTCCAGCTGGTTTCCTGATACGTTTGATCTGCAAACTGTCAAACACTAAAAAGTCGCAAAGCTGAAGTCAGTTTCTCGTTCGCCAGCTTGTTGTTTGAATGCTCCCGTTCCACCTTAAATGGTGCAGCAGTTACATTCTGGTGCCTCAGGCACCATTTAAGGTGGAATGGGAAAATTTGAACAAGAAGCTGGAGAATGAGAAACTGAATTCAGCCTCATAAAAAGTTGTTGAGAGACATTTTACAAGAAACTGTTCTACTTTTGTGGAAAAGTTTCCTGCCAGAGATGTGAGAAAAGCGGCTATAGCTGAGCTAAAGCTTAAAGCAGAGCAAAGTAAGTCTGCGTTTTCCTTTATATTATAATTTTTAGCCTATATTAGTACATTAGCAGGGGCGGCCACAGCAAGAAGGGCCTGGGTTCGATTCCCGGCCGGGCGACCAGGGTCCTTTCTGTGTGGAGTTTGCATGTTCTCCCCGTCTGAGTGGGTTTCCTCCCACGGTCCAAAGACATGCAGTCAGGCTGATTGAAAATGCTAAATTGCCTCTAGGTGTGAGTGTGTGATTGTATACGTATGTCTGTCTGTCTGCCCTGCGATGGACTGGCGACCTGTCCAGGGTGTATCCTGCCTTCCGCCCAGCTGGGATAGGCTCCAGCACCCCACCATGACCCAGAAGGATAAGCGGTTTAGATGATGTATGTATGTATGTAGTACATTAGCAAATACTGAGACACAATTACAGCCAAGATGGTAAAATGGACATATAATGTTGTGGCTCCCAAGGTAGTCTGATTTTTGTTGAAAGGAGAAAATGGCTCTTCTTAACATTTGGGTTGCCAAATGCTGGTCTAAGATCACCAAACACAGGATTACGCTTTGTTCCTAGAAGTGATATCGCGGCATTCAGTGCTTACGCTCCTAAACTGTGGAACTCATACGACAAAACATCCTCAGTCAGCAACTTTAAAAAGCAGCTTAAAACTTATTTTTCACTTTAGCTCTTCTCTAGTTCTATAGTGTATTATTTGTCCTGATGTCCCAGTCTTACTCTATTATATTGTACGCTATTATATTATATTTGTGTTATTTCATTATCATATTTGCACATAAGGCTTTCTTTATAAAGCACTGCTAAAACAGCTTCCACTCTATATTTCATCTTTCCTTACAGTTAGAACAGATTAAATATGCATTAGAAATAATGACAGGCTGGTTCTGAATGTGCAATCCTTATATAGAGAATTTGTAAGAAAGCATTGTTTAGGTAACGCCTCGTTAGTGTGGAATAATTATCAGCTGAAAGCTAAAATACAACAACTCTTACCTTTAAGTCAATTTAAATACTTTTAAACAAATTGGTAGATGAGAGTTGTAGGTGTAAATCAAATTAATTTCTTGCTTCTTTTATTTGTTTATTCTAACTGTTATTCTGTGTTTGTTATCATTTCTGTTTACTATAATACTGTAACGTATTTGTGTGTATATTTTACAGGGCCCTGCTGTAAATGAGACCTAAATAAAGAGAATAATAATTTTTTTATGTGATTTTTTTTCTTTGATCCCCTTTTTATGCAGTGCTTTTATTTTCTCAAATGACTATGTTTTGAGCTGCATTTCACTGTATGGAAGGTGCTATAAATAAAGTTTTTTACTGTTATAGTAATTAAGATAAGATCAAAGTCATTCAGAACGGTCAAAGTCACTCAGTGCTCAAAACGAAACACGGGCCTAAACGGCCCAAATGAAGAACCCACACCGGATCTTGAGAACCGGCAGTCCTCGTAACTTTCAGCGCAAAGCTGTCAGGCTGAATCAACAAGTCACTCGAGCCCCAGTACCACTTGAATTAGATCTGGACCTCCGGGGTTTCGTTTCACTGTGGTATTCGCACTATGTGCAATGTGTCATTTAAACACGTTTCCAAATCTCAAGGGGCCATTCCACCCAAATGTGTAAACAATTCAGTCCTTAAGGTGTAAACAGACTCATTCAGAGTGGTTTGGTGTGAAATGGATTGAAGAGACTCAGATTTACAGTGGTGGTGATAGAAACCAGGAGTCACCATGACTACAACACACATATAGACCTCACCAGAAACCACCAGTGAACCTACACGTGTCTTCTGAGGTTTTGTGTGTAATGCTGATGATGGTAAAACAGCCATAAATCTGAAAACTATTTTGGCTCACAACATCCTGCATGTATTCCTCCACCATAAATGGATCAAAATAGATTTTTTTATCACAAAACTGTGATAAAACACTGTGTCAGACATCAGGCGGTGAATTCATAACCATTTCATGTAATCATTTTCTGTGGGGGAGCTTGTAGAGGTGGACGTCTGGTTCCTATCACCACCACTGTGAACAGTTCTGACTCTGCATGTTTCTCTAGAACGGAGCGTTTCACACCAACCCACTCTGCATGACTGGGTTACATCCCAACCCTTTGATTACGGGGAATTTTTGAAAAATCTGCGGAGTTCCCCTTTAAGCTAGAAGTTCTCGTCGTGGTACCACTCGGTGCCACAGCTCGGACGTGCCGAGCATATAATGAGCGATTGTTTCACACAACAGTCCTCAACCAAACCCGTAGCTACCGTGTAGGAACCTCGACGAGAACCTTATTCACCAGATTTAACTGCTACAGATGATCTTTAGAGCCATTTTTCTCATTGACGATACACAAACGCAGAAAACACCGCTGTTGTTGTCCATGCTTCCTATTCGAATTCTCCCGTTCCACCTTAAATGGTGCAGCCGTTTTCCCCCGTTCCACCTTAAAAGGCGCAGCAGTTACGTTCTGGCGCCCGAGGCCCGAGTCCCCAGAATGTAACTGCTGCACCATTTAAGGTGGAACGGGGGGAAAACCGCTGCACCACTTAAGGTGGAACGGGAAAATTCGAACGAGAAGCTGGCGGATAGCGAACATTTGGCTAATGGCTGTTACTGAGCCTTTCTCTGTGTCGTTAAAGCGCTTCTCCTGTCGCTTATACACCACTGCCGCTCCTCCCTACCTAATTCCTGAGTCTTTGTCTTCGTTTTCTCGAGATCACGTCCTTTTCTCCAGCAGGAAGTTTACCATTTAGCTTACAGTAGTTTCACTTTCCCTCCTTGGACGCATTATTTACTTCCCCCACCCGAATTCCGGAAAGTCCCGCCTTCCCGCGCTGTGATTGGCTAGTCGTTCACACTCCCCAGCGGTCTGCCAATCGGAGAGCAGGAGGGCGCCCAAAACCAGCCAATCGTATCAGAGGATGTAAGATTCGCCGGAAAACGGGTGGAGGAAAAAAAACCAATGCTGTACACACTTAAAAAGACAAGTCAATGGTTCTATAGAACCACATGTTCTGTATAGAACCATTTGCATGCTTGAATGGTTTACATCAGATCCATGGGGAATGTGTTGTATATGGTTCTATATAGCACCAAAAAAGGATGTCAAGCTTGTAACAGTGGTAGAACCCTTTTTGGTGACCATTTTCAAAAATACAACACCATCAGTCTGAAGAGCCATTTCACCATGCAAGGAACCATTTAAGCATGCAAATGGTTCTATATAGTCTAGAAGAACCATCTTTTTAAAGTGTGTATATACACTCGGCATAATCATCAGACTATTTTAAGAATGTGTATTACCTTAATCAATGTATTTGCATGAAATGCAGTCATTTCACAGAATAGTCTAGACCCTTTCTGTAAACACTAGCTCTCTGCTAAGGAGTGTGTGCTCAGATTTAAGGTAACCCAACCCTGAAGGGTAGCATAGCGCCTCAATGCTGCCTAGAACTTTCTTGGACTTGTGCCGGTGTAGCAGGCCTAAAAAAAGATCTTGGGATTATGCGTCCATCTTAAATGTTCCTAGAGTTGTGTGCAGTAGTACACGCTTAGAAAAGATGGTTCTTTAGTAAAGACAATTGTTCTATATACAACCATGAACCCTCAGAGCACTATTTGCATGCTTAAATGGTTCTTTGCAGGGTGAAATGGTTCCTTGCATTGTGAAATCGTTCTTCAGATTGATGGAAAACGTGTTGTATATGGTTCTATATATAGTGCCTTTTCTAAAAGGGTTCTATCTAGCACCAAAAAGCGTTCTTGCGTTACAAGCTTGACATCGAAACAATAGAAGAACCTTTTTTTTCTTTTTTTGGTGCTGTATAGGACCATTTTAACCATAAACAATATACTTTCCATCAATCTGAAGACCCATTTTACCTTTTACATTTACATTTCAGTGTGAATTGGTTCTATATAGAACTCATAGTTCTAAAAGAACCATTGACTTTGCTAAAGAACCCTTTATTAACCACCTTTTCAAAGGGTATACATGGATTTACACACTTCTCAGTCTTTTTACCAATGGGACATGAACAAGACTTTCTTTGTAAAATCATTTTAATCATATACAAATGTGAACAAATAGGTAGCATATCATAAAATTATAATAAAAAATATGATTTAATAATTTATTACAGTTTTGAAAGTGGTCTTGATCAGTCAAAATAAATACAATCCAGCACAAAAAAGCCCTCAATTGCAAGAATACTCAATGAAATTGATTCTTTTCTGCCATGGATGTTATTATGAAATAATATTCCTACAAAGCAAAGTATACATCTTAAATAACAATCCATTAAAATGCACGTGACCAGTCAGTGCAATGCCCTTGCAAAAGTAAAAACTGCACAAATCCAGCACATTTTGTCATGTAGATGGAAAAGAAAATGGAAAAATGAGCAAATCCACAGCAAATCCATCACCGGGAAAGCAAACAGTCTGAAAAAGAACTAATATAATTTACTTCAAATGTAATATCAACCTAGCAATGTTCGGGTGCTAGGTCGTGCGGAACCTCATCACCGTGACCTGCCCCAAGTCATGCATATCTGAGCTGCTGGATATGAAATGTCAGCTCTTCAGGCAGCCCCATTTCAGTCACTAGCTCCCTACAGCTCTGAAGCAACTGCTCCAGACTTTCACTCGTCTGGAAGAAACTACTTGAGTACATCCTGAACGGGCTCCTACTCTGGTCCTCGTCCTGCCCACGGCAGTCCGTCTGCCCATCTTTCCCGCAACAGTCACTGTCTCCATCCTTCCTACAGCAACCAGAACCCTCCCTATCGCCGCTCTGCTCTACACCCAGGTCCTCCAAATCTCCTGCCACCTCAGACACGCTGGGAGGAGGCCGCTCCTGAGCTTTCCGCATGGCTTCCACCAAATCCTGCTCATGCTGATCTACCCTCTGGAGCAGCTCTGTGATGAGGGGTAGCTCTGATATCCTAGAGGGCTGAGATTGACACCAACACCGCAGAGCACTGTGGAAAAGCAACAGACAATGCACATACAGCCACAGTTGTGGACAATGAGAGAGATGTCTGGTATGGGCAGGAAAATGAAGGGACACAATGAAGTCAAGCATAATAGAGCAGCACATGACTTGACCTGAACATTGCTGCTGTCATGACAGGACATCCCATGACCAAAACAGCAGCGTTTCACTATTTTGCCTCATTATCACTAAACAACTAGGGCAAATATGGACCTGGAATCCAGTTTACACCCCAGAATCTTGTCATAACTATTGATGTAACTGATTCTCCACTTAAAAGTAATGAGAAAATCCTAGACCGGAAATTGGATGCAAGCTTTGGAGTTTAAGACCTCTGATCTAGGGTAGGGATTCCCAATCCAAGTCCTGGTGATCCTATGCTCTGCACATTTTTGTGTGTCCCCTACTTCTACACACCTTACCCAGTAAACAAGGCACTTATTAATTAGTTAATGAGTTCAATCAGGTGAGCTCAGTGAGACAAAAGCACAAAAATGTGTTGGGTCACCAGGACTGGGACTGGGAACCACTCGTCCAGGAGATTAGGGTTTATGTGTGTGGTCAGTTCTGGGCTTTGACATGTTTGTGTTCTCTCTTGTGTAATCACCTGACCCAGCGCATGAGGACCTTTTTAATGAGTAAATGAGTCAAATCAGGTCTGCTAACCCTACATGAGGGAAGGCACAAAAAGCATGGAGGAGTGCCCAGAAATGGGACTGGGAACTTGTGGCGTATGTTAAAGGTTTAAACGCATATCAAAACAAAAATAAACGACGCAAAAAGGATCATGACAACATAGCAGTATGACAATATTTATCATTATTGTGACAAATAACATCACAATATGTCCCAATATATTTGTTTAAGCATACTGTGGATATCATCAGTACTTAAAAACACTTCCCAGCTGCATGTTTGATTAGAATAAGAGCATTATTAGTCCTGGATTTAGCGCAGCACAGTGTGTGAAACTGGATTCATAGATTTTGTTAGTATTTTTCAAAACGTGGGCACTACTTTACCTGTTCTACCTTGTCAGATGTCAGAAAAAGTCAATTTCATGACACCGCATGTTGTTAAAAGCGTCCTGAAGTATCACGATATTACATTTTACTACGCTGCTCACCTCTGTGACGACACTATAACGGACGTAAGGTAGGCCTATTGCTCATGACAGCAGCAATAGGAACACAGAGTCTTGGTTTGAAAATAGGTGTTCAAAAACAACATAACAGACGAGACTCAATCGTGAAGATGTGAAAATGGGTGAGAACAGCTAAGAGCGCGGTTTGCAAACGCTTACCTAACTATTCCTTTGAGCTGGCCGATGGTCTTCATTTGGATAGCACCTTCTCTATAGCCCAAGTTGAAGCCAATCTGAAGTGAAGCCTCTTTTCCCGCATCCATTCCATCTCTGTAACCATCCTAGTAGAAAAAGAGACATTGGAATAGGGGTGGGCGATATGGCAAACATATTAGATCATGATACTTCACAATAAATGATATTCACCATGATATTTTATAGATTTATTAAGTTGGAACAGGAACAATGAAACCTCATGTTTAAAACATACAATAATAATGACATTAATAATAATAAAAACAATTATAACAATAATATTAAAAACCCACAGCTACTTTTATTCAAGGTTTCAGAAACAGGACTGCACTTAATCAAATTAAACAGGCCTAATTATCTTCACTTTGTAATGAAACATAGTGTTCTTTTAGTAGTGACAGTATCCAAAATATGCTCAGAAAAGCACATTGTGACAATTTATAACGGCAACAATAAAATATTGTCATATTGCATGATGCCCACCCCTACACTGGAGGGTTCATTCTAACTTAATGTAGGTATAACACACATTTATCACATTAATACCTCAACTCATGCAGAAATATATGGCAATATATGGATTTTATTTATATTAAATATTTTAGCATTTCCCTCATCCAACATATATTTGCTACATAAGGACACACGTGACATACCATATAATAACATATATGTGACATACAACTTATTTGAAATGCGCTCTTCTGAGACTTATGAGATTATTTCAGCCATTTAACATGTACAAACACAACTATGTAACCCAAAATGATATGATTCATGATAGAAAATATTATGTGATATGATATATACACTATGATTGAAAACATCATTCATATATCGCTGCTGTTGGAAGAAAACCTTTTTTGACGTTTTCGGTTTTTGACATAATTTGAAAATACCTGTTGCCCTTTATATTGAGTGCAAATTTCATGATGAATGGGCCAAAAGAAACGACCCACAATAACATGGAAAAAAGTCTGGTTCCATTGACTTACATTGAAAGTAAAGTAGGTTTTTTCCTTCTCCTGTAAAGTTACCATTTTGGAGATACAGGGTTTTGTTCTGACAGCAGTGATATGCTAGTTTCATGTAATATAGGTCTTTTTTTTATTTAATGTATGCTGCTGATGTATTTAATGTAGATTTTTGCTTATGAAGCTCTTTACACGGATAAATGCTTTCAGTATTTGTATCAGACAATATCAGACATACAGTATACGCAGTATGATCCATAGACAGATGTGTTTACCCACCTATCAGACATGTATGATCCATATTTTGTGTATATATATCCTATATTTGACACTTACATATATGTACACTACCTTTATGTTCATATATTCTGAAACATATGCTTGGCCCTTTGTGATGTATGTGCATATATGTCCATAGGTCAGATATATGTATGGGAATCCTGCTAGATGTGCTTCAGGCTCTGGGAAGATGACTGTACCTTAGCTCGCTTCTCCATGTTGTATCTCCACTCTTTGTGTTGGAGGCTGATTTCATCCACGTCCTCGTCGAAAACATCATCGCTGCTCGGCACCGCTTTCAGCCACGCCATGCTGCGCTGCTCTGTCAGCTCACAGCCGCCCACCTGCGGAGAACACAGCGCCGTCCGTGTCAGCAGCCTTTCAGACAGGCACTGATGGACCGGGACACGCCGGAGAGCTCACCTCCATCCCTGGGCACATGGTCAGGTGACCGACGTCATCGCTGTTTCTTCGTGAGTGGCCAGTTCAGCCAAACTGAATAACGTCACATCGCCCCCTGCAGGCAGGCAGAGAAATAGCTCAAGAAATACTCCTCATGCTTCAGTAGAAACCGCTATCTCCATTAAATCCCTCACACTTTCAGAGGTTTTGTTTGCACCTTATTTTTCCCGCGGCCACCGCGCTTCGTGATTATGGCTGAAAGACCCAGTTAGATGACGAAAGTGTCTCTCAGGCGTTTCTGGGAGTGAAGCTGAAATTACGGCAAAACAGTAACACTACAAGCATAAACAGCGCAGAGCTTCAGCGGACAAGTAGGACGGCGTTTAGGGCCACTGTCAATAAAAACAGTAGACTTCGAGAAAAAAGTCGCACTATTTCGAGAAAAAAGTCGTAATATGTTGAGAAAAAAGTCGTAATATTTCGAGAAAAAAGTCGTACTATTTTGAGAACAAAGTTGTACTATTTGGAGGAAAAAAAGTCGTAATATTTCAAAAAAAGTCGTAATATTTCGAGAAAAAAGTCCTACTATTTGGAGGAAAAAAGTCGTACTATTTTGGGGAAAAAAGTTGTACTATTTCGAGAAAAATTCGTAATATTTCGAGAAAAAAAGTAGTAATATTTTGAGAATAAAGTCATAATATTTCGAGAAAAAAGTTGTAATATTTCGAGAAAAAAGTCGTAATATTTGGAGGAAGAAAGTCCTACTATTTGGAGAAAAAAGTCGTACTATTTCGAGAAAAAAAGCCGTAATATTTCGAGAAAAATTTGTAATATTTCGAGAAAAAAAGTCGTAATATTTTGAGAATGAAGTTATAATATTTCGAGAAAAAAGTCGTAATATTTTGAGAATAAAGTCATAATATTTCGAGAAAAAAGTCGTAATATTTTGAGAATAAAGTCATAATATTTCGAGAAAAAAAAGTTGTACTATTTGGAGGAAAAAAGTCGTACTATTTCGAGAAAAAAGTCGTAATATTTCGAGAAAAAAAGTCGTAATAATAATACTTTTTTTTCTCGAAATATTATGACTTTATTCTCTAAGTCTTTTTGAGAAATGTTTTTATTTTTATTAACAGTGGCCCTAAAACGCCGTCGTAGACATGAGACTGTGGCTTCATAAGGAGCCCAGTTGTTAGCGTTAAAATCTGTGTCTATTAAATAAAACCAGATGAAGAACTGCCCGGTGAACATCACTGTTTGCTCCTAAACCCAACAGACTCGCTTTCACTTAAGGTGTTACTTAAAAACGGAGGTATGCAAAGTACATCATATTACTTATATGCCTGTTACGAGCTAAAAATGCCCATATTTAAACTAGAGCTTACACAAAAATCTCAAATAGAACAGAACTACACTGCTAGTTTGATGCTAACATAGTGAACAAGATGCTACCTTGGTGAAAAGGAGCAAGGAGCGAGATCGAAGCGCTGGTTTAAAGAACAGATTCCTAAATTAGGGATTACACTGCTGTGTAAAAGTACTGCTTTATGGTTTTCTACCTGTTCCTGACTCTCAGTGTGAACACATTTAAACAGTTTAAATGAAATGACTGCATTAGTGTGAGTAATCGGTGTGGGTCATAAATAGGATTGAGGTTTCTGTTGACATCGATTAAACTACAAACGTGAACACACAAGTATTCAAGAATCCCGACAATAAAGATTATTGATGGTTTTATTTATTCAAACACGTATTATAACGTCTCTGTTTGTATTTAGTTTTATTGACTCCAGCTAATGTTGGCTTCAGACACACTTTAGGTCTTCTACGTGCGCTGTAGAAAGACTAGGCCTTATTTTTAGAAATGTAATTATTTACACTATTTATTTTTTCATGACCATCGTTTACTACAAGGTGCAGCTTCATAAGCTCACTTTGCCCTGTCTTCCAGTGTCAGACTATCATGAGACATGGAGACATAAGGACGTTTTTGTACTTGTTCTTAGAATTCCTGATAGAAAAGTTAAGAAATTTAGAACATTCTAAGGGAGTTTTTTTCTCAGAAGAACATTAATTTATCTGAACTTTTTTTCCTGAAGTTGGAAATTAAAGAAAAAAACTATAAACATTTGACTTTTTAAGACACTTCAGTGAATCGAGACCCAGAATTCAGTTCTGTCTGTCATGAACACTCAAAGAGCTTTGGCATGTTTAAATGGTTCTCTGCATGTTGAAAAAGGTTCTTTAGATTGATAGAGAATATGTTGTAGATAGTTCTATATAGAACTGTTTTGAAAATGGTTCTATGTAGCACCAAAAAGGGTTCTTCTATTGTGACAGGCTTGACGTCATAACAATAGCAGGATCCTTTTCGGTGCTATATAGAACCATATACAATACACCAATCTGAAGAAACATTTCACCATGCCAAGAAACATTAAGGCATGTAAATGGTTCTTTGAGTGGTCATGGTTCTATATAGAACCACTGTCTTTACTGAAGAACCCTATAATAGTGTATGATAACATTATGTGTCTTAAAAATACACTTTTGTCAGTTAACATGTGCATTTTACTACATTTTGACAGTTTTCTGTGCTGTTCTGTTGAATGTCCTGTCGAAGGAGCTGTGGGGTATGTGGGGAATGATGGTTCTTCAAGGGTTCTTTAGTAAAGAGTTGTATATAGTTGTAAGAGTTGTAAAAGTTGTTTATAGAACCATGAACACTCAAGGAACCATTTGCATGATTTAAGGATTCTTTGCATCATGAAAGAGTCCTTCAGATTGATGGAAAGTTTGTTTTATACGGTTCTATATAGCACCAAAAAGGGTTCTTCTATTGTTATAGGGTTGACATTGTAACAATAAAAGGACCCTTTTTGGTGCTATATAGAGCCATTTTCAAAAAGGTGCTATATAAAACCATCTACAGCACATTCTCCATCAATCTGAAGAATGCAGAGAACCACTTAATCAAGCAAAGGGTTCTATAAGTGTCCATGGAGTACATTCCTTTCCTTACCAGTATGTCTGAATGAATAACAGCATTATCATTTGAAAATACAAATCTATTTATTATTATTATTGTTATTATAATTTCAAAACAGTGCAATATTTCACTTAAATAAATAAAGGGATTCCTACCTTGCAGGTAAGTGAAGCCTTTTGCCACCAGATGGCGCCGCTTTCACGTTAAATGTTGTTTGTTGACTGTCATCCCGCCTTAATCTGGACTATTTATTGTATGAATGACATGAAAAGTTCTTAGTCTGATTAAGAAATAGGGTCATTCTACAGAAACGTCCATTGTCGTGTCCGTAGCGTTTACAGATATATTACACTTAAAAACATGTTAGTTATGATTTATTTAGATTTTAAAATAAAACAATGAGTTATTTTAACAATTACACCTTCTTGAGCCTCAATTTAGCAATATTGGTTTTTAAATCAATTATCTAGAACTCCAAGCACCACAGAAGAGCTCGTCCTCACAGTCATGTGTGAAGGCTGAGGCCATATTTTAAAGAAAAAAACATGTTTTTCTGCAATTTTAACTACAATAATCTATACATGTCTATGGGATATATAAATTAAATGACATAAAGAAAACAAATGCCAAATAAATATTATAAAATATATAATGAAAGTTGTCCCCAGGGATCATGTCACTGGTGTTACTTTGTAACAAAAAATCTCTTATTTTGAAATAAAAGTCACACTGATGACATCACTCGACTTTCCTTTTACCTGTTTTCTGAGGATCTGTGAAGAAAAGCACATGGTGAGTCCACTGTGTCTTTCAGTTATCAGAGATTTTCTCATTCAGCTCATGATTTCATATGAAGCTTTTAGCTGAAGTCACTGGTGTCACCGACTTTATTCTGAGGTAACTATGAAAAAATAGAATACAAATGGTTTAAATTCCATATTTTAGTGGATATTCCATGACTGGCAACATGTGGTTTGATGCTCTGTAGCAGCCATTCTGTAAAATGCATTCTTCATTAAAAATGTCTCTAGTGTTCCCTTTATTATGTGTAACACCAGTGAGGATCGGTAACACCAGTGACTCCTATGGAGAGGTAGAAAAGGGGACGTTTCTGTAGAATGACCCAATTAAGAAATAAAGGGTTTTGTTTGCTAGAACTTACGCATACTTTCTAAACGAATCAGATAATTCATTAGGCACACGCTGCCAGCTAAACAGTGTAGTCTATTAGACACTGATTGTGTTTTTCCTCAGCATTACGGCCAAAGAGTTTACAAATTAGTCACATATTAAGGAAATCAATGTACAAATTGAAAAGTCAATACTACATAAGTAAACTAGGCCAGTAAAAAAGGCAGTGACTCAGTGAGTAACATGATTTATTAGGCCCATCTCCTCTACAAGCTCACCTCATATGCTAAACTCTCCACCTATAAAGGACCATACAGTCAGAGAGATGAGGCCCCGGTTAAACCAGATATGTGACCTTTATAATGAAATTAATTAATACCCCTCATTAATCTTCATCGTCCTGATGGGCCAAATATGTTGCAGGTTTAAGATAAAGCCACCTGGCCTGGATCACTTCACAGCCATTTTTCATTTTCATACATACTCCCATGTATGTATGTGTGCAGTGGCAGTTCATGATTATGTGGCACTCCTGCTAAGGGCCCAATCTGACCAGTGATGGTCCAGCCAGCAGGCGAGGGCATGATGAGGAGGGTGGAAGGATCATTTGGGTCATTCTCCATTTGGAGTGTGTCCATGTCACAAAGGCTGCAGGGCTTAAAAAGATGCTTAAAATATCAGGCGCAGCTCCAAAAGTCAGTATGTCCATTTACACTGCTGACCTAAGATTAAATAACACTTTTCCCTTTATGATTCTCTGATTTTTCTTCTTTTATCCTGTTTCATAGTCGCTCTGCATCTGTAAAACAGCTCGTCACAGAACCAATTTTCGACCATTTTTAATATAAAACGATATTTACTTTTTATATCATTAACATTATACTACATTTTAAAAAATATGTATTTTGTTTAAAAAAATCATTTGA